TTCTTAAAATGAGTTATGATTATTTATCATCAAACAACACCAATGACGCATTTGAGTGCTTCATAAATAGATGAAATAATAAGCACCTAGTTTTGAATAATATTTTTTAATATATTATCACTTGTAGATTTAAACAAAAGGACAAGCGGGGTAGTAACGTTAAATATTTCCTCGAGCAATTGTGAGTTCCTATAGGAATTATAATTATAATTTATAATACTCACGTACTCTCACAGCTTTAAAAGATAAACAAAAAAAGAAAATTCGTTTCAAAAAATAATTTTTTTTATATTTAACTAACCCTATAATTTATAAATAGTCTAAATTTTTAAAAACTTCATAATACTGGTTCAAAAGTTGTTATCCACCACTAATTTTCATAAGTAGATTATTACACATTTTATAAGGTAGTTAAATATGAATGTTCACGTTAAAAAAAATAAATTCACACCACTGTAAGTTATTTGGGATGATTCTAAATAGTAATTATTAACTGATAAATCAAAAAATATATGTAAATAAAAGAAATCAAAATTTGATTTTCTAATATTGTATTTATTTTGAGAGAAATGGAGTTGTTTATGATAAACCGATTAATTTGTATATTTTTACTATACATATGATTAAATGTCGTAAGACACTCTTTTACTCAGAAATTTTTGAAAGTTTTAAAATTTTGTAGCAAAAAAAATGTCAGATTCAAAAAACTCTACAATAATTTTGTAGTTAAATAATTTTTTTCGTCTCACTAGGAACAAAAATCCTTATTTATAATTTTCTTAAAAAGGAATTCTTATTTTTAACTTTATAGTACGATAAAAAAAAAAGAACTACAAATAACATTCTTCTTGCAATTTTTTTTATCCGATCAACCGTTTTGGTTTCGCATTTATTTAAAGATTTAGAAGTCAAGTAAAAATTCATCATTGATTTTGTTTTTTAATGAAGGTAGTCCATCAGGTATTATTGCTGCCAACATAATAACAATAATATGTTATGATTGGCCATAAATTATATATTACGGTATTTATCAAGAAAAATTTGACACGCGAATTTTATTGTCAGTATATATTTTAAACTTCTGTTTATTATAAGAGTATGTCTTTTAATAGATATGCATTATGAAAAAAACTCAGCACAGGGGGGTCGCGGCACAGTGGTGACGTGGCATAGTTGGATCAAGTATAATGATATCTGACAGTGATTAAAATCACTATCATAAAAAACGCTTCGATGCAAATCTTTAGATAGTGTTTAATTTTAAAAAATTGGTGGATTATTCCAAAAGCTTCATAAACTGCTAGTTCCTTATTAATATCCTGATTAAGATAAAGTATGTCGAATGAAAAAGGGATTATTAAAAAATAGACCGCAATATCTGTAATCCATATTCGGCAGTGGTCTTATCTCGGTGTCAAGGGCGGGGAGACAACCGATTGTTATATTAATAGCTGGACGGCTGATGTCGAGAGAGACACGGGTGAGTGCCAGCCTAGCGCAAAGGGCGGTGCCGTGTCACTATTGATAATTAATTGATAATAAACAATCTGTAGCTGTGACAGTAATGTCATAAAAATCCAATTACCTTTCTGTATTTATAATCCCTTGTGTATTATACATGTATATATCAAATACATGTATATATAAAATGTTTATGTCTAATAAACTAATAAAGTAATATTAAAAATTCAAATGCCATTTACAATTGAATTACAAATACAAACATATTATTAAATTAAAAATATGTGTTCTCACTAAAAAAAACAAAGTTGACACCCTTACAAAGCATAATGGATGAATATAAAAATTTTTAAATAGTTAATAATTCAAGAATAATGTGTAACTAAAGAAAACAAAAAAAAAAAAAAAAATGTTTAAATTAAATATATTCTGCAAGTAATTGAGTGAATGAATTATGTTAAAAAAACCTAGCACAGGTGGCTCAAGGCACAGTGGTGACGTGGCATAGTTGGATCAAGTATAATGATATCTGACAATGATTAAAAGCACTATACGTAAAAAAAACGCTTCGATGCAAATCTTTAGATAGTGTTTAATTTTAAAAAATTGGTGGATTATTCCAAAAGCTTCATAAACTGCTAGTTCCTTATTAATATCCTGATTAAGATAAAGTATGTCGAATGAAAAAGGGATTATTAAAAAATAGTATTTCCCATAAAAAAATTATATTGATCAATACACTTTTCAATAAGTTATAGCATTATAAAGTTAAAAATGTAAAAAATAAAATTGAGAATTTTCACACAATAATAGCATTTGGTAGCCATTTTCACCGTGAAGACAAAATAAAGTCCGAAATTTTTTTTTTACATAATAAAGTAGATTACATTAGCTTTAATTTAATATATATATAAAAGTGTCAGACTTTCCGGAACACTTTCAAAATTTAAGTTGAAAAAGTCAATTTTTTGTGAAAAAGTTGTCATTTTGAATTCCCCCCTGTAGGCAGGTAAAAAGTCAGATTTATAAAAAAAATATACCAGATGATAGGTAAAGACATCATGCATCTACAAAAAAAAGAATTATATTGATCCATACATCTTTGAAAAAGTTATAGCATTATAAAGTTAATAAATATAGTTTAAAAAAACTAAAAAACACGCTTTTAAAGAACATCGAACTAAAAATTATTTTTAACTTTTTAGTTACATGTTATGATAGCAGTTACTATCAATATCATGGTTGTAATGGGTAAAGGGGAATCAGGGTTCGATTCCGGAGAGGGAGTCTGAGAAACGGCTACCACATCCATGGAAAGCAGCAGGCGCGCAACGTGGAGGTAGTGACGTAAAATGACGATACGGGAATCATCCTTTGTAATCGGAATAAATACCCTATATATCTCTTAATGAGAATAAAGCGTATTAATATATAAGTTTTAATAGTAATTAGAATATATATATATATATATATATATGTAAAGCGACTTAAGTACGTAAACGTATCATGCACGAGGTATAGCTGTGTTTTGTTGGCGGGCGGGGCGCGAGGCATATATGGCGGCAGCGGCGTCGGCTGTAGGGATATATAAATGAATATTAACATATACGTATATATAAATAATAATATATATATGTATATATATATTAATATTAGCGGCGATGGTAAGAATATATAATCTTCGCATAATATCGTGGCACTTTCGTTGGCGTCGACGACGCGATGTCCGGCGTGATCCTCGGGCGTCAAAAGGTTAGCAGCGTTGATGGCGACGGTGCGCGAGTGGAGATCGGTTTATTGACGTTGCCACTTTGACGACAGGAAGAATACTACGGTATCATTAGTGGCGGTACGTCGTCGGCCGTGCGGCACTTGCTGGACTTTGCACCGCGGCGTATAACGCGCGGTGTTGGTCAGTCAAATATTCAAAATTATACAGAAAAAAATAGTCTAAGCGCCGACGGGTGAGCGGGGTGGGGTGAATGCGTTACGACGGTCTAGTCTCAAGGTCATAGACGACGGCATACGCGACATAATAACACGTGCCGCGTGGAGTTACAAACTTACAACATACAAACAAAATACAAACAACATACAAAATACATGTGAAACTAATAAAAGCGTGTTAAAAATAAAAAAAATAATTTTTTTACAAAAACCGTATTTTTTTATTAAGTTTAATGTCTATTTTCACCATGAAGACAAAATAAAGTCCGAAATTTTTTTTTTACATAATAAAGTAGATTACATTAGCTTTAATTTAATATATATAGAAAAGTGTCAGACGTTCCGGAACACTTTCAAAAGTTAAGTTGAAAAAGTTCTACTTTCTATATGCATTTTCATGTTTTGAATCCCCCCTGTATTAAGGGAAATGGCCCGATTTAAAAAAAAAGTATGTTGAATGAAAGATCTATATAAATACTACTTCTCATAAAAAAATTATAATGATCCATACATTTTTCAAAAAGTTATAGCATAATAAAGTTAATATGTAAAATACAAAATCGAAAATTTTCACACAAAAATAGCATTAGGTAGCCATTTTCACCCTGAAGATAAAATAAAGTCCGACATTTTTTTTTTTCACAATAAAGTAGATAATAAAAAATTGAAAAAATTTCGAAAATTAGCGATTTTTAAATTTGTAATTTTTTTGGAGGTTTCCTCCATTTACGGGGAACGAGGGAATTTTTTTCAATTTTTGAGGGTAATGTCTTCGATTAGATAATATTTGTGATCTTTTGACGTATCATTGAAAGAAATCGGTTCGGTGAGAGCTGAGAAAAAGTGGTAACAGACAAAAAAAAAAAAAAACACATCTTAGTAAAACCAATACCTTCTCAGCTTCGCATCGAAGCTAAAAAATATTTGTATGTATCTGTAATTTAGCATTAATTCAATTAACTATAACTAGTTGTAACAGACAAACAGTTAATTGAAAAAAACTTTGTAAGAATAGTTGTTTATAATTTTTCAATCTATTATATTATAAAATTAAAAATATGCATTCTTATTTAAGAAATTTAAATTAGGACGAAGAAAATAATTTAGGGACATAATACTGTACAGTTTTTTGAACCTGATATTATTCCTCGTTACCAAAATTTAAAACTCTTAATAGATTCTGGGAAAATGAGTGTCTTACCAAATTTTGATTACCCTGTATATATAAATTACGTAAAGTTATAATTTTAATAAGTTATATTGTATCCAACTATCGATTACAGTTTGCTGAGATTTTGGATTTATAAACCAACATTTAAGTCCACAACACAAATGTGGTAAACAATATTACAAAGTATTTGGTATTAATTCTAGAATTCACCCTTAGAAATAATTTTTATTACAATAAACTTTATTGTTTAATCATATGATATTAAAAATGATTCTTTTAAAGTGTGACAGTGATAATGTTAAATATATTATAATCTATATTTTTGCTTTGTTATAAATAACATTACTTTTAAATAAATAATTATATTTACACTATTTTAGTATAAATTGCAAAACATAAGTTAAGCGATTTAGATAAAACTTGAACATTTAAATTTTTGGCTTCTTAAATAGAAAAGTTATTGTCATGTATTTAAAAACTGTATTTATTTTTTGTTTAGTAGGTTTTTTTAACAATACAGAGGTAAATAATTATTAATTTATTGATTTTTATTTTTATTAATTATTATATTGAAATATTTAAAGAGCAAGGGACTTAATGAGACCCAAATAAAATATTATCAAAGGTTGATATACGGTAATACAGATCTTGAATTCATTAAAGGTATTTTAAAGGAAAATGGTATCAAAGAGATATACAACGATTATAACAATAAAGGTAATTTATAATTGGTATAATTTTTAGCTTCAATTATTTTTACCAAGATATTTTTATATATTCATCAGTAAAAACACTTTACCTGCTTTAAAATAAATATATATATATACAGGTTGTTCAGTAAGTCAGGAAACGGGTTTCTATTGTTCTCATTTTTACAAACAATGAGAACAATTTTATAATAATATACCTTTAGGGTATAATACTTGAATGTTTTTATTATTCATTATGATGAATCATTATTTTTAACACTTTTTATACAAACCTGACCACTTTTGTATTTTTTTTTATTTAGTAAAAAAAAAGAAGCTTTGATAAATATATTTTGGTATTAAAAAAATTGTTTTTTTTTTATGGTAATAATTATTTAAAACTGATGCAAATTTATAGTAATTATAATACCAATTATTATAACTTCTACGAAACTTAAAGAATTTATAGATGTTAAAAAAAAAACTTTAATTAAAATATACAACTTTAATATTTTAAGTAAAATTAAAACTATATTAAAAATATTATTAATTTAAAAAAACTAAAAAATATTAAAAATATTAAACTCAAAAGCCACAAAAAAATTAATGAAAAGTCGCGGATACGTATTTCGGAAACAATGTTACCATTATCAACGCTAAACACATACTGACACCCCGACTAGAAAAAACTCCCTTATATACCCCTAGTGACCTTATCACCTAGTGACGTTATCACTAAGTAATATTATCACATTTTGCCAGTTTACACAAGTTTAATAATGAATTTTTCAGTGGGCCAAGATCCCAATTAATTAAATTGTTTTTATTTTTAAACATTTCTATTGCTTCTCTGATATTAAGTTCTTTGTAATTATTTACGTTTTTAATTAGTTTTATGGTTTTAATAGAGTGATTATGTGTCAATAAATGTTCAGCCACTGGAGATTTCTCAATTTCTTGATTTTTAATATTTCTTAAGTGCTCTTTAAACCTGACCCCTATATTTCTTTTTGTTTGTCCTACGTAACATTTATTACAACTTTCACATTGTATTTTATAAATGCCTGATTTCCCCCCTTCATCTACCTTATCTTTAGGGTTACCTAATAAATCTCTTAAATTATTACTCTTAGATGTTACCAAAGTAATACCAAAATTCTTAAATATTTTAGTTAATCCATTTGAGATGCCCGGATAAAATAAAATTGGTGATCTAATTACTTTTTGTTCCCCCTCGCTGGAGAGTGTACTAGCTGCCCTCCTTTCTTTTTTCCACTTTTGTTTTCGGACTAATTTCAAAATTATGTTTTCGTTATACCCATTAAATTTAGCTATTTCTTTTATAACCACCAATTCTTTATCATAATCTATTTTATTCATCGGAATATTAATTAATCTGTAAACCATACTATTAAAAGCTGACAATTTGTGTTGCCAGGTGTGGTTCGATGTGTTCGGAATGTATCTGAACGTGTGTGTGTTTTTCCGATAAATTTCAAAATTTAGTTCCCCCTCTGTTCTTTTAACTAATAAATCCAAAAAAGGCAATTTTCCCTCTATTTCTTGTTCATATGTAAATTTAATCGATGGGTAAAAAGAATTTAAATGTTGTATGAAAACCCCCATATTAAAATCTTTATTTATAACTGCAAAAATATCATCGTCATACCTAACCCAAATTTTTGGAATATCGATGGTTGCCACTTTTTCTCAGCTCTCACTGGACCGATTTCTTTCAAAAATACGTCAAAAGATCACAAATTGTATCTAGTTGAAGACATTACCCTTAAAAATTGAAAAAAATTCCCTCGTTCCCCGCAAATGGGGGAAATATCCAAAAAAATTACAAATTTAAAAATCGCTAATTTTCGAAATTTTTTCACTTTTTTTTCTTAAAACTTCCATAACTTTTTGAAAAATCAACAAATCAACATAATTTTTTTTTATACTAAAACCTTAGATATTTACCTTTCATTTGATATCATTTTTTTGAAAATCTATCACTTAACCTGCTCATTGGGGGGGATTTAAAATGGCAACTTTTTTACAAAAATTAATTTTTTCAACTTAATTTTTGAAAATGTTCCGGAAAGACTGCGTCCTTTAAACATATATCAAATTAAAGCTTATTTTATGTACTACAAAATGAAAAAAAAAAATTTGTCCCGACACTTTTTCTTCTACATTTAAACGGCTGCCGTAGTTAAAAAAACGCTATTTTTGCGTTAAAATTTTCGATTTTCGATTTTTAATTTTCAACTTAAAAGTGCTATAACTTTTCGAAAAATGTAATTATCAGCACAAATTTTTTTTTCTAAATATATTATAAGTACATATTTCATTTGACATACTTTTTATTAAAATTGGACAACTTCCTCATATATAGGGGGCGTTCAAAACTTGAAATATTGTATAAAACATAGAACTTTTTAAACTTAACTTTTGAAAGTGTTCCGGAAATACTGCGTCCTTTAAACATATATAAAATTAAAGCTTAATATATGTACTATAAAATAAAAAAAAAAATTTGTCCCTACTATCTATCTTCTATGTGCAAATGGCTGTCGAAAATTAAAAAAAAATGTAATGTTTGCGATAAAAATTACCTTTTATCGGGTTTTTTTTTGTGCTTAAAACTGCCATAACTTTTTCAAAAATTAACAAATAAAAATAATATTTTTTTGTATTGAAACCTTAGATATTTCCCTTTCATTTGATATAATTTTTTTTGAAAATCTACCACTTATTCTGTTCACTGGGGGGATTTAAAATAGTAACTTTTTTACAAACAATAACTTTTTCAACTTAATTTTTGAAAATGTTCCGGAAATACTGCGTCCTTTAAACATATATAAAATTAAAACTTATTTTATGTACTACAAAATGAAAAAAAAAAATTGTCCCGACGACCTATTTTCTATACGCAAATGACTGCCGTATTCAAAAATATGCTATTTTTGTATTAAAATTATGGGTTTTGTATTTTATTTTAATAGAAGTTGATGTTGCTTTTGCAATTATCCATCAATTTTTTAAAATTAAACACTATCTACAGATTTGCATCGAAGCGTTTCTTATGATAGTGATTTTAATCACTGTCAGATTAAATCTATACTGGATCCAACTATGCAATGTCTCCACTATGCCGTGACCCCACTGTGCTACCGTTTTTTTAAATACGTGTTAACAAAATTGAATTGTATAAGTTTTCACAAAAATATTTAATTTGGAAAATTGTTTTCAATAATTTTAGGCGAACCGTCAATTTCATTTTTACCACGTTATGCTAAACCTCGTTTACATTTAATTGTAATAACACTTACGAGTCTCTTGTTTATATTATGCCAGTAACTCTTTACCTCATCTCTTTGTTTGACAAGTTAAACGTCAATACGTCCTAATTCTTTTGAACGAACAGCTAAATTTATCACAAAATTTAAATGATCTTTGTAAGTTTCATGACTTATTAATCAATTATCTGCATGTTTCCAGTCACAGAAACCACCATGAGTAAATTGACTGAGTGTTTTGGACATTAATTTACAAACAAAACAAAAAATACTACCATTGAATGGTGAAATACATAACCATGAACGCTTAATTATTTCTCCGTGGGCAGTTTTTTACTTAAACAATAATATATTACAATTACAAGTAAATTTCACATCAAACTGTTTTTTTGATTTTTGTATAAATAATTCTTCATAACAATTTTGTAGATTTGAACTTCCAACTTTTGCCCAATAATCTATTAATCCTGTCATACTTTCAAACCATAATCCTATATCTAAATTTAAGCCTTCATTTGTTTCTTCAACATTATTTTAGGGTGGAGGGGTTTCGGCGATAGTTACTGGTGGAGGCAGTAGCGCAGTTTGATATGACTGAAATAAAAAAAATATTTAAAATTTATACCTAATTGAAATGTTTATTATTTAAATTACCTAACTTGTATACATATTATTATATGCTATTATACAATGTATATAATAGTATAAAAAATATATTATTTTAAGTAATATTTATACTTCGTATAGTAATTGTAAAACTGTACTAACCTTAGAAGAAGTTGTGTTTGGCTTAGTTATGATAAATTCTGTCATTCGCCTAGATTTGAAATTATTTCCGTATTTTTTTTATCTTTTTCTTTTGCCAATTTACGTTTTTCAGCGCCACTTATATAAAATCGCTTAAATTTATTACGATCTTCTTCCATTTTTAAATTTTAGCTTCGATGCGAAGTTGAGAAGGTGTTAATTTTACCATGATGTGTTTTTTTTTTTTATATCTGTTGCCACTTTTTCTCAGCTCTTACTGGACCGATTTCTTTCAAAAATACGTCAAAAGATCACAAATTATATCTAGTTGAAGATATTATCCTTAAAAATTGAAAATTTTTCCCTCGTTAGACGCAAATGTGGGAAATCTCCGAAAAAATTACAATTTTTGAAATCGGTAAATTTTGTCATTTTTTTCACTTTTTTATAATTTTTACTAATCTGGATATAATACAGGAATTAGTTGATTTTGCTTTTGTAATTATCCATCAATTTCTTAGAATTAAACATTGTTACAGATTTGCATAGAAGAGTTTGTTATGATAGTGATTTTAATCACTGTCCGATTAAATCTATACTGGACCCAACTATGCTACGTCCTCACTGTGCTGGGTACTTTAATATTGTAATTCACATTATAATTTTTAATTTGGTGAAGGTTAAAATTTTCTCAGACTATTCGAAACATTTTCAAAAATTGAAGTAGAAATTTAATTTTCTGTATGCGTTGGCTTTTTCAAACCATTTCTGTACTTAGTTTTTGTTTAAATTATAATACTATTCATTGGATAATATTTATAAAAAACAATTATAGTCTGTAAGTAGTGTTTGGCCGCCGATCATTTGTAGCGCCACTTGTATACAACCGGTAAAACGCGATCGAAATTGTTGCGCGTCGTGGCGTACGGCGAGTATGTGTTTGGCACCTATGCTGGGACGATCCTATGACGGACGGTGAGTGCCTCAACTTGAGAGCCCACAACCTAGAGATCCGTGATCGTCACNACAACCTAGAGATCCGTGATCATCAATTCAATATCAAAGGTGGATTTGGATGCCCATCCACGAGTTTATGGTGTAAGGAAACGTGTCTGGTCTTGGTCTACGAAGAACTGAAGTAACCAGGTTGCATATAAACCATTTAACTATAGTTGTGCACTAATGGTAGATTAATTTATGTATTGTGGTATTTAATAATAATAAAATTTACATTTGTGTTGTCAAAGAATATTGTTTCCTTTAGTGAAGTAAAAGCAAGTCGTGTCCACTTGGGCGAAAATACTGGGTACCCCGACCAATAAGTGTATTTGAGTCGGTGGAATATCAACTAGTGTATACACAACTTTTATTAACAGATGTGCAATAAAAGCAACGAACAAATTACGATAATATACCTATTGACGAATAGTCTGTAATTTGTATTATAAATGATATTACCGAAAAATAATCTCACCATTCTGACGGTGAATTATTTTCGTTAACCATCGTATTTACGATGACGTTTTGACTATAATTCCAGACCCACGTGTGTATACTTTGAAACAAATTTACTAATATTATTACAATCGACAGTGCATACCGATCACAGATGGAATAAAAACCTATCTTAACTAGATTCTTTATTGTCAACAAACGCGAATACATCTATTATTAGTTAATAAAAATTAAATTTTTTAATTTCCAAATAAATTAAATATTATATCATTAAGTATGTGTAAATATAGATAAAACATTTTTTCTGTATCCTAATTTAAATATTATACAATTGTGGGGGACCCTGGGCTACAGCCCACTCAGCCCTCTCCTAAATCCGGCTCTGATTTAAGGTATTAATATTTTATAGATCGAGAAGCAATAAGGCTATACAAATTACTGAAATTTTTGGTTAATGTTGAAAAATGTGGCGATGATGAGGCAAATGTAAAATAACATTATTATTAATTTAGTTTTTTTTTTATATGTTTCATTTAATTAATTAATTTACATTCTTCAGGTAGTAAAACTGGATCAAGATGACTTCAATATAATCTCAACTAAATTCTGTGAATTAGACGAATTCAACTTAGGTGTTATTGAAATCAGTCAACGCATTAATTTGATTGATTCGTATCTCAGCACTATTCTTATTAGAAGCGTAATTATAAATTTATTAAAATTATTCGTAATTATCTACATATGAAGAAAACTTTAGGTGCACCGTTTTATAATAATAGTATTTAAGAATAAGAATATAAACATTAAAATTTAGAAATGTGGAAATATTAATTAATTTAGCAATAAGGTTTATTATTTAAATACTTTTTAATACTAAATATTTATGAATAATAACGTAACGAAATTACGTTATACTATTAATATTGTAAAATAATAGATTTATAAAAACTATTATATTTATTATGTTCATAGAAAATAACGTTTCCTGTAATAATAGTTCAGTACATTTTTATGACAAGTCTTATATTTTTCGAATAAATTAAGAAAACCTGTTAAGGTACCCTATTTCAACTGTTTTTAACCCTGGCGTTCGAAAACGGAAACGGTTCGGGTAATTTTACCAAAACTTTTCTTAATTAATTTTTTTATGGTTATAAAAAAATAAAGAAGGACCAACAACTAAAAGTTACACATTTAATTACTTATTGCTAAAGACTGTTTGATAATATAGGCCAATAATTTGATTTAATTTAACATTTAATCATCTGTTTATTAGCTTACGGGACAGTAGTGCGGGTATATTAGAGGCTACCTAGAGAAAGCTGCCCCTGGGGTAAAAAATTGTCTTTTGTCCTACGACAGTACTTACATCGTTTATGTTAAATTCATTAGTTAATCTAAAAAATTATAGAATACACAACATTTTGTCGATTTGTTGATAAACAAATAATTGTAAGAAATAAATGTAATTTTGTTTTGCAGCAACAGATAAATTTCAAAAAAAAAAAATTTAATAAAGGCTTATACACTCAATAAAATATTGTTGAAAATAGAATTAAAAGAATAGGAAATTGTTTTGTTTATGTTTTAGAAAATATAAAAGTTGTTAAGTTAAATAAACAGAAAAAAAATTATTTCGTAATATAAAGGGTGAATTTAGCTTCGATAGGAAGATGAGAAGATATTGTTTTTACTATAATGTGTTTTTTTTTTTTTTTTTATGAATCTGTTACCATTTTATCTCAGCTCTTACCGAACCAAACACTTTCAATGATACGTCAAAAGATCAAAAATCGTATCTAGTCGAAGATATTACCCTCAAAAATTGAAAAAATTTCCCTCGTTTCCGGTAAATGGGGGAAACCTCCAAAAAAATACAAATTTCAAAATGACAACTTTTTCACAAAAAATTGACTTTTTCCACTTAAATTTTGAAATGTTCCGGAAAATCTGACACTTTTCTATATATATTAAATTAAAGCTAATGTAATCTACTTTATTATGTAAAAAAAAAATTTCGGACTTTATTTTGTCTTCACGGTGAAAATGTCGACCAAATGCTATTATTGTGTGAAAATTCTCAATTTTATTTTTTACATTTTTAACTTTATAATGCTATAACTTATTGAAAAGTGTATTGATCAATATAATTTTTTTATGGGAAATAATATTTTTTAATAATCCCATTTTCATTCGGCATTCATTATCTTAATGAGGGTATTAATAAGGAACTAGCAGATTATGAAGCTTTTGGAATAATCCACCAATTTTTTAAAATTAAACACTATCTAAAGATTTGCATCGAAGCGTTTTTTTTACGTATAGTGCTTTTAATCATTGTCAGATATCATTATACTTGATCCAACTATGCCACGTCACCACTGTGCCTCGAGCCACCTGTGCTAGGTTTTTTTAACATAATTCACTCACTCAATTACTTGCAGAATATATTTAATTTAAACATTTTTTTTTTTTTTTGTTTTCTTTAGTTACACATTATTCTTGAATTATTAACTATTTAAAAATTTTTATATTCATCCATTATGCTTTGTAAGGGTGTCAACTTGTTTTTTTTTAATGGGAACACATATTTTTAATTTAATAAAATGTTTGGATTTTTAATTCAATTGTAAATGGCATTTGAATTTTTAATATTACTTTATTAGTTTATTAGACATAAACATTTTTATATACATGTATTTGATATATACATGTATAATACACAAGGGATTATAAATACAGAAAGGTAATTGGATTTTTATAACATATAACTATACTCCGTATAGTTTCTGTGGTGATTAGTTTTTTTGATGTTCTTCCTTGTTCTCATGTTCACTGGCTGGCGATCGTAAAATCTTTACTGGTATATATATATATATATATATAAATTATGTCGTCGAATGTTTTTGGATACATGACAATAGATGAAGAGTGAATGTGTCATACGTTCTATGTACCAAAAAAATATTTGTTCAGAAAACACAAAAAACATCACAAATTAAAACTTTTCTTATAATTTTGTATAAAAATATATGTTATGTTATATTTACACTATATGAATTGCCTCGTAAATTTCTATTATTTTATTTTGTCATTTCATATTAGTATAAATTAAACATTTGCTAATGACAGTTCCAAGTGCCAAGTATAATAATATTAAAGTTCCAAGTTCCAAATAATGTGATAATATTATCGTTCCAAGTACCAATATTTTATTATAGATAACAGAAAATCATTCTTTATTTTATTAAGACTTCATATATATTTTTATAAAATATGTAAAAAAATCAACACTTTTTTTGAGTATCACAAATTGAAAAATAAATGTACAAACTTAAATAAAAAATACTCTTAATCTAACATGACATTGTCAGTAAATCTCAAAACGTAAAAAAAATTGTTTCTTCATATAAAAATGTAACAAGAAAAGAAAACAGTAACTTTCTTGAGTATCATAAATTGAAAAATTAATTAACAAACCTAATAATAATTTTAAAAAAACTCTAGATTAAACATAATTAGAACATAGCAACATTATAATAAATAGCAAAAGAAATTAATTCATGACGTTATATTTTTATAGAAGTTTCTGTGTTTATCAGGTAAAAATGGAATCATGGCCAACAAATCTTTTTTCTTCTCTGACGACAATGTGGGTTTCGGTATAGGTATAAATGTCTGATTTTTAAGTTGGTCTATAGTAGCATTTCTTTTAAAAACGTTAAAATATTTCCAAAGTTCTTCATCTGAAAATGTTTTTTTATAATAGATTTTTTTGAGAGTTAGAGATGAAACTTTAATCATCGAACATTGGAAACTTGGTTGTGTTAAGAAAATTGTTAGCAATGTCTTTAAATGAGAAAAAGTTGTTTTCATCCATCGGAATAACTCGAAATGGATTTGTCAACTTCGACGCTCTAACCATTGCTTATAAATCAGAAGGAGTGAAATTTTGAAAAACTCTACGTTTCTTTTCGATAATAGCCAAGAGAGAGTGACCACTTATAAAAAATTTTTGTATAATCTCATCAAATATCCCCATATTTATTAAATATAACATCAAAACTACTAACGTTTTATTTTTATTTTGGCCAGCACAGTTGTCTGACCATATAATTAGTTTTTTGCGATTTATCGTATTTTCGTTTTTGTTAATAACTTGAAAAAGACAAGAAGCGATTTTTGAGCTTTCACGAGAAGCAATACTTTCATCCCACATATACATAAAGGCTGTATTGCTGTCACCGAGATGTATTCCAAAGTTATAACAACTAAGTTGACGCTTTCCTGAATTGTATTATTGCTTTTCCTGGTCGCATACGATTTTCCACTAATTCTTTTTTTAGTCTGATCATTTCTTCTTTTTTTACCACTTCGTAAAATATGTATACTTTCAGTACCCATAATAACACAATTAAACAAATGAAAAAGAAAACTTAACGAATACAACAACACCAGTATTAGTTATTTTGAAATACAACGGACTATATTATAATATTGTAATCATCAAACTATTATATTCGCCCAAGGCACTTAGAACGTACAGGTAACAAAGGTAATGTATCACAGAACAAATACAATCTATGAACGCAATTTTGTACAAGTAAAAAATTTAATTGACACTTGAAACACATACAAGATTGTGACCTTTGGCTCATAGAACATAAATCAGAAATAAAACAATTTTTCAATTTTTTGGCACATAGAACGTTTGACACATTCACTCTTCAGATATACTTTCTGTATTATCAGTTAGTGTATTTATAAACTCACAACAATGTACCTTACTATCATCGGTTGTCTCCCTACCCTTGAAACCGAGATAAGTCCACCGCCGAATATGGATTATGGATATTGCGTTCTGTTGCGTTTCCGACTTCTGCACCTTGTGCGGATACTCTCAGCCTACAATTGTGCTGCGACATAAGTGTTGGTGTTATTTATTTAGTACCCGCTAGAGCTATATATATATATATATATTAATATTTATTTATCGGTACATTTTGTATACGCTTAACCGTATACTGGATATGTGACAACTGGCTCCCCGAACAGGAATTCAAACCGGCCGAGTGAAGTTAAGGTAATAGGCTTTGAGCCGATTCAGTTTTATTTCTTATTATATTAGATTTTAGTTTTAACTTGGAACGGTGAAGTCTCCCATACAAATTTTATTGTTCATATAGTTATTTGAACAGATTTCACTGGTGACAGCAGTGAATTTTTACCTGGTTTATTCACAGTTATGTATTAGCCGGATTAGATTTAGCCTGGTCTTATGGAAAATTTACTATTAAATTAAAAATTCAAACATTTTATTTAATTCAAATTATGTGTCCGTGTTATATTTTTTATCTTTTTCGGTGTTATGTATTATATAATAGAACAAGGAATAAAACGCTTTTCTGGAAAAATCTGACGCCAGCGTTTTACGACTTTAAGTTTGAAATTTTTATCAGACTCGCCCAATGACATTCCTGAGATATAATGAAAATCCATTAATTTTTCACCATTTTACAAGTTTTTTTTTCATACGCTCAAGACGTCAGGGCGCGCCACCCTAAATTTTTGCGACACTTTACGTCATGAAAACGATTTTTTTACTATTCACAATCATACCACGGCATCCTATACGTGTCAAGGAAGCGCCAAAAATCCGAAAATCCGAGATCCCACCAAAACTCTGGCTGCTACAAGCGTTTGAAATTTATCCAATTTTAACGAAAAATAACGATTTTTCTGTATGCCATAACACATGGACGCGTCCTATTATATCTTATTATATAATAGAACAAAGAAAAAAACGCTTTTCAGGAAAAATTACTTAGCCTCCTCGGATATTTAAATTTTTTTTTTTTTTTTTAAGTACATGTGCATGTTTTTAATAAGGGTGTTTATTTATTTTTGCGCATATGTATTTTGTGACTTTTAATTTGAGTTTAAAGGATATTTTTAGTAGACTTTATTTTCTATTAATTTTATTTTTAATATATGTTATAGTTCATATATATATATATATATATTTATTATTAACTACCATTTCTATAACTTTTTTTTTTCTGTTATTATGTTATACTGTTACATTTACTTATTTGGTAAATTAAGTATACTATTAGTATTGTAAATGTATGAATGTAAATTAATACCCATTTACAATGATTTCTGAATACGCCCCAAGTAACAAACGTCAACCTTAAACTCAATACATTTTACTATTTTCTCTTTTTGAATTTTCCTGATATAAATAATTAAATTTTTAATATATTTTTGTTACACTGATTCTGATGTAATATTTTATCTATAAAACACTTATCGAGCCTGGGAGTAGTCGGGTACTCCAACCGGAATCAGTGGCCTACTTATGATGATGGCCCTAAGAGGCTTACGGCGAAGCCTAGTAAATTAATATAATACTAGTTACTTGAAATACATTTTTTTTAGTTGATAAAACAATAAAATTTATGTTTTCATAACTTTCATAAGCAAATCACTTCTCGCTCATGATTTCGGTGGTGGGAAGGTGTTTTACTTACTCTTTCGCACCATAAATACACACATCTTTGTAAGTGTACAATTATTAATTGTGATTTTATAAAATGTATAATAAACTATTTTGCTTACTTTAGACGAAAAAAGACGAAAAAGTTGACGAAAATATTGACGAAGAAGTTGACGAAAAAGTTGACAAAAAAAAAATCCAGATAATTATCTCTAACTTGAGATATAAATATAACAACGGTAACAGTAATTATTTAACAAATTAAAAAAAAAAAATCGATTTTTTCTATTATGTTTTTGTATTTTTTAGGTGCTCATTATAACGACTTAGGTGATGTAATATTGAAAGTACTATCGGCCTGGAAAACACATAGTAAAAAAACCATAGAATACGGTGAAATTGAAGATTTTCCTCACAACGATCATCTAATTATATAATTATATACATAATATTTTACAATTGTAAAAAATTTCTAACTTTTTTATTAGTTTTCTCTCATTTTGTTAGTTAATTATTATTTTGAGGATTTACGATTAAAGAAGCGTATCAACTGAATTCTTATTTTTTAAGAGAGCAATATTAAATTCTCATTTTTCATTGAAGCTAATGAAATATTTTTATTTTTCTTAAAAACAAAAATTTCCTTCCAATATAATTAATGTTACATGATTTCACATAAAAAAAAATTTTATATCTTTATTAAAATAGACTAATAATCCAAAAATACCAATTTTGATTGATACGTTCTTTTTATACTAGATCTACTATTTGTAAAATTGTAAAATGTATTGTCAACGATCTTCGAATAAAAATATTGTATTGCAAAACAGTTATGTTATTTAAAAAAAATAAAGTATTTTAAATTAAACATTTTAAATACAAAAATATTATAAAATGAAAAACTTTCTCATTTTCAAACAAAAGGTCACAACATTTCCTTGTTCACTTTGGTGAGTAATACATATAAAACAGAAATATACACATTTTTTATTATTTATAAGAGTATTTCAATAAAATATGAAACTGACATCATAAAATTAATTTTAAAATTTAATGTAAATTTTTTGTAAAGTACGTTGTTATGATCAGATCTAGGTATGTCAATAAAAAACATTCTAGGAGGTAAAAAATTATCAGGTAGTTTAAACATTATGAACGTTTGCCATCACTACTTATTTGAAACCGAGAGTTTATTAGTTTATCCATAATACAATGTTTTATTGTGTTTATCTATGAGATTGTTTAGCTCATTAGGCTGATTTTGTTCATCTATGATTCAAAACAGCCCAAATTAAATTTATTTGAACCTACTGTCACCGAAAATTAGATTTAGTCGACTCTATCGAAAGGTTGATCTAATTATCTCCTGATTGGATGAAAACAAATTATTAATATATATATTATATTATTGTAGAGTTATACAGGGTGTTCAGTAAGTCAGGAAACGGGTATCTATTGTTCTCATTGTTACAAACAATGAGAACAATAGAAACCCGTTTCCTGACTTACTGAACACCCTGTATATATTGAATCGAACAATATTTTCTTTTAATAAATTAAAAATATTCAATTGTTTTCAAGAAAATGAGTATATTATACTTACTGAGTCACTCAGTATATTTATCGATTATTTAATTGAAAAGAAACACGCGGGTTAATCTTAATTTTTTTTTTTTTTTTATGACAATTGCATAAGCAATAGTTCAAAAAAAAGAAAAGGTGTTATAACAGAATATTCTATTATTCACATTACAATAAGATAAAATTGAGTTGTTATCTCCTTCCGCAACGGGTAGAAGACACCTCGACAATTCAGGTAACTTATTCTTAATTACTAATTTCCGACTGAACTACATAAGTGTAATACACATACTACATCGCCCCCCCATGTTATTGATCAGAAATCATTTTTATTTAGTGAAAAAGATTTATCTTACTTAATACCAACTACAATTTCAATAAAATTTTAATAAAAATTTATTACTTATTGTGAGATTGATTCTTTAATTAGATTGAGTCAATAATTTCAAAAATCATATTTTTTATTTAAATCCGAGACAGAGTTTTTCTATTACTCTTTTTTTCAATTTGAAGAAAATTTAAAAAATTGTTTAAATTATTGTTTTAGTTCGTTATTGAAATTATAATGTTAATCTAAATGAATTGTCTAAATTGTATATATTGACATAAATGTTTTTAAAGCCTGCTTTATTTTTAAATTTTTTGTCAACAGGAAAAATAATTGTATTGAAAAATAATAAAGTTTGCACAATTTTCTAAAATTCGAATGATATTCTAGTGGTGACATAACATATATTTAAAAAATAAAATTTTAACTTTAAAATAAAAATTATTTCAGATTCATATAAATATTAGGGTAAATACTGACCTGAGTCACTTCGCAATATCCGGCACTCCCGACCCACCCCACCTTTATCAGCCTTTGCCATACTATAGGTACTTGGTAGTTGGTCCAGCTAGTGCCGCCCAACCGACGACGACCCGTTGCAAATAATACGAGACTTCTTCCTGCTGTCAAAGTGACAACGGTGAGGATGTAGTCCACCGGCTCCGGACATTGTCGCACGACCGAACTCGACGAACCATCCGCACCATTGTCATCAACGCAGCTAACTTTTTGACGTTCGAGGATCATGTTGGACATCGCGTCGTCGATGCCAGCGAAAGTGTCGAGATATTATGCGAAGAATTTAATTAATTGTGTTCGTGTTTTCGGTTATTTTTAAAATAATCTGTCGTTGCTCGTTAATAATTAACGTGCGCACGGGTCTACCGTCAAAACCAGTGTCGACTACATTATTGCGACGTTAGTCGTATTATCTGGCTCCCCGGTAAGGATCCTAACCGATGTAACATTTGTTTAAGGTGATAAAACCATTGCTGACTTGATTTTTACTTTATTATTTTACTTTCCATATAAGTGTCAGCTAGATTTCCTTCAAATTCCATTTGCTCCGAGTTATTTCGATTGACATTGCCGATGGAAAAACCGTTCACAGGCTCCCCGTTCGAACCATAAACCATCCGAGTTTTGTCAAACAAATACGGCCGCGTAAAATTACAACTTCCACGGTGAAACTTGAATTTAACAACAGCTTTCTGGTGACATTACTTGACTCACAAGCGTAATTATAGCAATTAGACCATAAATATGGAATTGAGCACAAAGGACCCACACACGTGGTTAGACTCGCAGACGGCCACACAACACGTACCACTACTTTTACTGCGAACATCACAGATCTGACGATTAATTTTACGGCCATGATCTTAGATAATCTACACTACGACTATTTTTTGACGGATCAGTGAGTCTCTTGAGATTATACTGTATGTACAATTTATCTAGGCGCAAAGCGACGTACAAAGACGTGCTGGAAAGCAAGCACTCCCTGCAATATAGACCTGCATAAATTAGGTATAGCAGGCAACCCACATATGCGCAAGTTATTAACAAAGAGCTATAAGCTTTATAATAATAAAGAGTGGGTATGTAACACAGGCGTAGGGTACATACAACTTTACTAGTCGTACCCATTATTAGCTATGTAATGACTTTTAAGTTCATCCCATACAATATGGGCCATATGCCTTATAAGGCTTAACTCAAAATAATTGGGATAACATAAATTTACTTACTTCATTTCTTCTTGCAAATTTTTGTGATATAATTCGATAAATGTTTAAATATATATATATTTATACTCTCAGAGATCTAATTTGTATTTCATCACAAGATAAAAATTAAAACAAATTCTTTTCACATGTGTATAAGCAAGATGCATAAAAAATATAGCCAACAACAACACGGGGTCGTGGCTAACAATTTTTTTTTTTTATTAATGTAAACTAGAACTCGAACTCTCGTCGTTGTCATCGCTCTCTTCTCTAAAATTTTTTCAATGCTTTTTATTGGGAATGATAGTACCCCAAATACAGGAATATTGTTGTCAGCGCTTTTAGTGATATTTTTAGTTAATTGTATTTAATTATACATTTCATGATTATTATATTGAGATAGTAAATTTAACAATGGATAAATTGACATATATATATATATATATAATAAGGAATTGTGTTAAACAGTGTATATGTTATAGCAGATAAGTTATTTGTGTGTTTACAAGTAATATAAAATAAAGATTATAAATTTTTCATTAATAATTTATCAATTACATTATAAACGTATATGCCAAGCAATTGACCATATACGACAACAATGGGCCTTACGATCTCACTTAAAGTATATCTTTTGATAAAGTCATAATTCACAATAAATGCTGTGAATAGCAACGTCATATAAATAACAATTAACTACCTGTGTTTGTAATTCCGCAAATATTATTCATGTATATTGACTCAAAAATTTGTAACTTTAAAGTTTTATATGTTATTAATAAATTAAAACTTAAAATGTCATTCACTATTAAAATAAAACCTCAAATTATTATTAATTTCAAAATGTGTTCCTCTTTGAAAAAATAAAATTGACACCCTTACATGGCACAAGTGATGAACTTAAAAAGCATTACATAGATAAAAACTGATATGTAATTAAAGGTAACAAAAAAAAATTGTTCAAATTAATTTTATTCTGTAAAAAAATAAGTGTAATTAACTGTAATGTGGTAACGGGTATTTTAAGTTTAAAAAATAACTGTGAAAATAACACTGATGACAAAACAATTTTAATAACTTCAAGTAATATTACTTCAAAAAAGTACAAAGAATTTAGCCAAACTTTTAATTTAAGCATGAATTCTGACATACAAACTAAATTTAAAAACTAATATCAGAGGAAATTATTAATTTAAATGATAACGTAAAAACTAATTTAATTGGCTTTTCTAAGTAATCTAAAACGTTAAATGAGATACAATTAGAAATAGAAATACCATACCAAAAATATTCATTCACAGAAACTCATATTTCTCTATTATTAATTTTATTTATCAGTGTAAGTTTAATGATCTTAATTATAGTATATAATAAAGAGAAAAATAGTAAATTTCAATAAGGTAAGGAAGACATAAAAAAAGAGATACAATTAAGTAATATCAATAAAATGTACAAGAAAACAGAGTACTAGGTTAGATTATATTTAAACATATTAAACATAATATGTTTTCATTCTACGCGGCGTGTTATGCATCCGTATTGTTATGTTATTAATGTAGTGGGGTTAGTGTGTAATTAGTAGTAGACAACGAATTGTTTCAATTAAGCATTAATGAATCGTGTTCGAACTGTTGTATGAATAAAATTGTGTTATAACTTAAAGTGATCGCTTTAAGACGATTAATGCCATACTTTATAAATAATTGTATTTTCTAAAATTTAACATACTGTTGTATTTTTTGATCAATTTAAGTGTACTTTTATTTCACATTACAAACGACATTCCACGCCAACACGTTACTGTGTCTCATCCTATATGGGACACAATAGATGTATTAAAATGCTTGTAACTCAGTGAGTACATGTTCTCAACATTTTTTTATAATAAGAAATCTGAAATACAGTTATTTTAAAATTTTGAAAAAAATAAAATCCTTTATTTTGTTATTAGTTAAAAGAACTATAAATTAAGTTGTTGGGGGTGGTATTAATAAAGAAGAATAATAATGACATCATCTGTAAAGACATAATAGATACAAGTACTTTGTTTCTAGTTATTACTTTATTAGTGTAGTTAATGTATTAAAACTACTCTTACCTGATATTCACTGATAATGATTAAATCTTGAGTGTAGATCTATGGTTGTTAAAAATACATTTAAAACTATAGTAAGTGTGTCAATAAATGAGAATCGAACTTGGTTAGCAGAAGCGTATTTATTATTATAGAAAGTGTTAATTATTTTGGCAAATGTATATTTTAAATTTAGTATAAAAAGTTAAGTCTAAAAACAAACAGCAGAAAAGAATACGCACAAGTATGTTTGGAATTATATTTTAAATTGATTAACTTGACATTGTAGTGAGAGAAGTGAACAAGAAAAATGAAAGATTGACTGACTGTCAACAGCAGTCTCCAGCCCTTATATAACATACCACGAAAAACATAAACATGATGAAACGTCTGATTGAGTCATACTTTACAATCAAAACAAGACAGTTACTTTTTATCACCTTCCCTTATTTAATGCTTTTTGTGGTGCCTAGAAGATGCTGGACAGACAATGACTCATGGCTACTTCGTAGTTGCCAAAAGTCAATACCATAAGTATAATCGTGTTAGCATATTCTTTTCTGTGGTATTAGAAATACAAGAGGTATTGATTTTATTAATATTCCAAAGGAGAATATTACATAGTGATGGATAGTAAAAAATATTCTTTAAACGTAGTGTTGTGACCGGATTGGTACGGTATACAAAATGAAAAGATATTGCATTTGAATATTAGTTGCTATTATTTTTAAATATATATTTACACACATAATTGATTTTACGATTTTAACGAGTTATTACTTAATAATACAAAATATTCATATCCTTATCCTAAATACTACCATATCTGTCAACGGTCAATTATCGCTATGGTAACACTGTCCACTACCCTATCCCATGTGATAACTAGCCGGCTTGTGAGATAATAGTACAAACTTACTAACTGAACTAACTTCTCCCTTATACATAACGTATAAAATTAAGTAATGATAACATAAATAATAATTTTGCAAATTTCTTTGAAAAAATATTTAATAATATATATTTCTAATTAAGCAAGAAAAAAAATTAGAACAATATTAAAAAACAAAATTAGCCAATTTAAAAATTTAGAAAATTCTTGAGAAATATAATATAAAAATAGATGAAGAATGGATATAAAAGAATTTAAGTTCCCGCATTTTTTTTTCAAACTACACCTTGTGACAATGTTTTCCCTGGGGGCACTTTTAGTAAATGCGAACCAATACCAATATAAAATTAAAAATAGGTTTAGAAAATTGAAAAATATTTGAACGTATTTCACAAGATGTTATATTAGTCAGAAAATTTATTAATAAGATGAAATATGTATATTTAAAAAATTTATTACTTGTTTATCATTTAACATATAAAAATTGATTTTATTAACATGACTTATAATCATTTTTCTTCAAACAACAACCATTTACATATTCTAAAGGTTCATAAGTAGATGAACACATATAGAACTATTTTTTAAGTATTATTTTTGGAGATACCAGCGCTTATAGATATAAACAAGATAAAATCAGATTAGTGAGTATAGGCAGAGCTATGGAGAAGGTTTGGGGAATAAGACAATTTTATTTTTATCGCCCTAGAAATCCAATCTATAGTAGTGAGGATAGTCTTTTCCACTTTCAATATATTTTGTTTATTGTTAAAAGGAGTTAGATGAAAAACTTTTCTTTTAAATTCCTATAAAAACTTGAATAATATTAGTTCCTATAATTATTATAAATATAATTTATAATTCCGTATATACTCTTAAAATTTTGATTAAGTACTACAAAAAATAATTAAATAATTTTATTTTAAAGCTAACAACAGACTTATAATAAATTCAATCTAATGTGGTAGGTTTAGTCTCCTACAACTCCAAAAATAATTTGAACCGTTTTCGTAATGTTATGATTATATGTTATACACTCCGAAAAACAATTGGAATCATAGGCGTTAGTAGAATTTTACCCTTTCTCTAGCCAATTAAAACCTCTAGTAAGAAAATGATACAAATAGGAAAATTATCCCAATTTAGACGTTTCAATACCACAAACCGTAAAACAAAATAAACCAAGTATGTTTTAACTATCAAACGTTAATCAAAACCAAAATGTATTTTTCAGTCCCTTATTTTAAATAATGATTAGTGAACCAACGGGAAATCTGAAAAACATATTATTAGGAAAATACATGGTGAATAAAATTATTGTAAATATTCGTCAAGTTAAGTGTTACTTTAATTAATATTACAACCTACAGCCCACTCAAAATACTGTGTCTCACCTAGGTAGAGCACAATTAAAAAATTCTCGCAAAAAATTATAAAAGAAATAAAAAATAACATTAGAAAATCGAAAAATATTTGAACGTATTTCATAAGTTGTTATATTAGTCAGAAAATTTAATAATAAGATGAAATATGTATATTTGAAAATTGAATCACTCATTTATCATTTTAGCTTAAACATTATTTATTTTGTTAAAATGATTTATAATTATTTTTTATCAAACAACAAACATGAACACTTTTTAAAGTTTCAGAAATAGATAAACTAATATATTCATGAAGTATGACTTGTTGAGCAATTGGCGCTTATAAATATAAACAAGATGAAAAGTAGGGTAGTGAGCATAGGCTAAGACCACCAATTTTTCTATTATCGCCCCGGAAATTCAATCTATAGTATGAAACATAAACTTTCTACTTCAAATATATTTCAATTATTGTTTGAAAGAATTAAATGAAAATTTTATTCAGTAAAAATTAATTTCATACAGATTTACACTAATTAATTCCTATAAGAACTAAAATTTCCTATAATAATTATAATTATTATTTATAATTCTATCCATACTCTTAAAATTTTGTTCAAGAACTACAAAAAAATTATTTTTACCTCTAAAAAAATAAAATTATTTTATTTTAAAGCTAACAACAAACTTATAATAAATTCATTCTAATGTAGTAACCCTATAGTTTTGGGCAATCATAACATATGGAGCATGAGATATTAAAAACGATTAAAATGGGCAACAAATGTTATTTAACTTTGGGAAACTTAAATAAATCAAGAACACATAAAGAAATTAAAAGTCCAGCTATACATCATGCTAAAAAGATCTATAGTACTATATGGAGTGCAATGTTGGACTATAAGGAAAAGTGATGAGTCTAAACTGAGAGTTTTTGAAAGGAAAATATGAAGAATGATATATGGACCCTGTCTTGATTCGCGATCAGGGAAATGGCGTAAAATTTAATAAATTCATTAATGTTTGTACGGAGCTATTTAGCAGAGTTATATCTTTGAGGCTGGAGGTTCATATATATTACTATAGGTCCATACCACTCTGGGTGACACACGAAGTGACTCAAACTCACCTATTATCGATAACCGTCAAAACTCGTGAAATTATTGATATGAAAGAATTGACAATTAATCACAATAAATCTCATATTAAAAATATAGTTAAAAAAATCGTGTTTTTCAGTCTAAAAAGACTGAAAAAAACTATATTTATTTTTCACTCTCTATTTTTTTATGATAAGTGGGATGGGGTGAATGCAAACGACAGTCTAGTTTCAAGGCTATAGACTACGGCGATATACACAAGAATAATAACACGTGTTACGTGGAGACTTACAAACAACATACACGTGAAACTAATATAAGCGTGTTAATAAAGATCACTTTATTTTACTATAATCTTCTATCTTTTTTATAGACTCTCGTACTCATACCCCGAGTAATAATATTATTAATACAATGAAAGTAGTTGCTCAACACCCACACAAAATCATATTTAATTATTTCATTCTTTCTTTTTGAATTACTAAAAAATTTATTAAGTATTACTATGATGATAGTAGTAGCCTAATGATAGTGTATTTTGTATTTTTGAGTATTGTTTTTCTTTTTTTATTGATAATTTTAATAACATTTGGTAATACGGTTTGATTTCACTGTAATTTTTTAAGGAATGTATCGCTCTATAAAAATTCATATTTGCCATATTTTAGGTAATTTGGTAACGTTTTGGCTGATATTTTTATACAAATCAATGATAAAAATTCAAATAATTTTTAGGAACATATGATATTTTTATTTTTTTTATACATCCGAAATATTTTTTTATAATTGTGGATTATTCACTCTTTAAAGGATTTTAGATAGTAAAATTTATATTAATTGTTATGCGAGCCTACTGCAGAAAAGTGTCATAAATAAAATAAATTTTAACCACATAAAATTGTATATTGTTTTCAATGTATTTTTTACATATTTGGTGTTAAATTCAAACACTAAATGATATCATTATGTAAATAATTCGAAGTATGAGTTTGTGAGTTATGACGTCTAACTATAATAATGTAAACTACATTAAAATCTATTTTTTTTTTTTACAAATACATCATTATAGAATATATAATTAATATTTGCATTATTTTAGTATAAATTACAAAACAACGTACCTAAGATTATTAACTTAAAATTTAAACATTTAAATAATTGTTTTTTAAATTTTTGGTTTCATTAATATATAAATCATTAACATGCATTTAAAAACTATACTAATCTTTAGTTCAATATGTTTTTTTACCGGCACAATGGTAAGTGTCTATTCGATAGTTTATTTATTTATTAATCAATATAATATATAAATATTTAAAGAGCCAGGGACTTAATGCAAAACAATTATCTTACTTTCAAAATCTGGTATGGGAGTATCATGAAATAAAAACAGTAAAACATGGTTTCTCATGTATTGGTATCGCAGAGAATTACAATGATTGTACTTTGGAAGAAATCAATATAAATGACGTCATATCTAAAAGTAATTTTTAACTCTTATATAATTATTTTGACATGACTTATTTTATATATTGGTCAAGTAACACACTTTGCTTACTTAAACATTTATTTAAACTAGAGAAAAATTAAAAAATACTTAATTTGAAATAGTATAAAAATGTATTTATAGCTTTTTATAGTTAGGTGTTTTTAATATTAATTACTGTAAATTAATATTTTTAACCAAACTCAATTAGATCAGACAATCAGATCTTTCAGCAAAAAATATTGTTTTATAATTTGTTTTAAACTTATTAGTTTCCATATCAGCGCTTTGATTTATAAAGTTTGATTAAAAAATTATAGTCGATATGGCTAAGACGGTCTCTTTGCCTGTCCGGATGACACGGTAAAGAGATATAAGATATAATGTACTAAAACATATAGCTAACAAAACTGTGATGGGTTGCGAACAGAAAAAGCTGAGCACAGATCAAACTCGGAAAACTGCCCAGAATGTTTATGTTTTTATATTATTGTTGATGTTTTTACAAAATCTATAGAAGATTTTCATAGTTACTTAGATCATAAGCAGCGGTACTAATCTATTATTATACATAATTGTATGATAAAAATTGAAGTTTAATGAATTTGTAAATGATAAGTAAAAGCTCAATATTCGAGCTATACATGAGCTGATTTTTTACAGGCAAAAACAAAATTCACTTTAAAATTTCTAAGTGTCATTTAGTTTTAAAGAAAAATATTCTAAGTCCAAATTAATTAAAATATGACTAAGTCCCGTAGAGTGAAATCTTGGGTAAAACGTCGAAGATTTTGTGTATTTAAAAATCATCAAAAAAACTGGTTTAGATAGGGAAAAATGGCTTTTTATAGTCTGAAGGGGGTAGCCCAGCGATCTCTACCGTGATCCTGGAAGTTGAGGCTTTGTATTCTAATTGGTTAATTATAATGGGGCCACTGCGTGTAGACTAGGGTGGCTCAAAAAAAATCGATCTTCGTAATGTTTATGAGATACCTCATAAATGTATTATATACATTAAAATAAACATTTTATGAAAATTTGAGATTAAAAAAAAAATTTTTACAGGTCGCTCAACGCGTTTTAAGAAAATTGACCAAAAATACTCAAAAAAACATAAAATGTCATTATTTATTCAATTTTTGTTCAAATTTCTTACTTAGTACATCTAAATTGTTCGTTTTTTAATGCCGAATAATAATAATTAGAAAAAAAAATTGTAAGTCCAAAACTGATTGCGTAAAGTCCATAAAAAGCTCAAAAATATGGTTAAGTTCAACGAACACTTAAGTAAACCAAAAAATTTTTTTTTTTCATTTTTTTTTTTTAATTTGATTAATATTTGTGTGTATATTAAGAGGAAAAAATTTTTTCCACTAATGTTTAAAACTACTACCTTTTTTTTAGATTATAACGTACGCTAGAATATACGATGTACAAAAATATAAATGAAAATATCGTCAAATTTTACTTTTTCCTTTTTACATTTTTTTATTTTAAAATATGGCATTAGCTATATAAAATACATATATATTTAAAATTATAAAAATAAAAATAAAAATAATTTTTTATTTTTTTGTCACCAATGTAGCTTTTTTACAATCGGGGTACTCATTGCGGTGTCTTTCCACAACTTGTATTAAATATTGCCTTTGCTCTTCGTCATTTGTTAGACAGTTATTAAAACTCGTCATTAAAGCGACTCCGCGTTCTGCTGGGTCATTTATTACGAATAATGATTCTACTTTATTTTTAGCCTGAATGTAGTTCGAATTTTGAGCCCAAGTGTTTGGTTGATCCTTTAAAAATTCTTGGTTTATGCCAAGGGTAGAAAATAATTTTTTAGTATTTTCTGATATAAACTGGTTTACTCCTTCATTTTCTTTTACTGTTTTTATATCTATTCTTTTTTTTGAATTTATTTCTCCTTTTTTATTTAAAGCTTGAACCATTATTTTTTTGTTCTGTATTGATATGCCTTCATCAAAAAATGACAGTCCTGAAAGTATATCATTTAGATACCATAAATGTCCAGAAAAGACTTTTATAGCAACTTCACTAATAGATTTATTTATAGAACTGTAATTTTTCAACTCTTTTATTAAATTTAAATCATTATTTGGAGCTTTTGTTGCATAAGAGCTCTCAAACCAATACTTAATATACACTTTTAAAACAAATACATTAAACTGCTGAATATTATTTAATTCAGAAGATGTCAGTTTAAATTGAGAACGGAACATATAAATTTTTAAACAATATATAATTTTAGCCATCCATCTCGCTCTGTGAAGTGCTCCTGGTGGATGAATTTTAATTTTTTCATTCTCTTTTCCGATGAATAGCAAACAAAGTTCCAATAACTCTTTATAATCATCCCGAGGATGATTTAAATTTAATTTATTTTCACAAAACTTAGAAATTATGTCTATATCTGGTGCTAATATATTTAATACAACATCATCTGTCAACATATTACAGTATAGTTTTTTATCTATATTTTCCCAGCTATTAAAAAATCTTTTGAAGAGAGCTATGTCTGGGCCAGTTGACGGAGGCATTAGTTTATCAAAAACTCTACTAATTATTATTTCATGTATATGGTGCCTACAAGCAAAACTCAATAATTCCTTACCTAATTGTTTTTCGATTAAAATACATGCACCATTTAGTTTTCCAGTGTTGGAGGCAGTAGTGTCAAAACACATCATATTTGTTTGATTAACCAAATTCCAATCAATCAAAAGCTTAATAACAGCATCAGCTTGCGATTGGCCTGTAGAATTTAAAAGTTTAGGCACTCCCAAAAGTTTAGTTTTGCCATCACCAGATACTAATACCGCTAAACGTTCAGTGTAATTTTTTTTGTTTTGAGACGGCAACATTTTACCGTCCCAGTGAACCATTAAAGCAGTGTTTGGTTTAAAATATTTTATTATTTCATTATTTATAATTTTTCTATTAAAATTGCGAGCTCTTCGAATTGAATCTTTACTTATGGAATAATCTTTAATATTTTTATCACACGAAGTTAAAGCAGACGCCAAAATATACGTGGCTTTTCGGCTAGATACGTTTGTTCTGTCTAACGCTGAAGTTAATTGTGTGTTTAAGATATTGTTTCTCATTTTACTAGTTGTGGGCTGATCAAGATGACATTCAAAATCTGACAGACTAGTATCTTGTGAACTATCGTCAGCGCTAGAAAGACTCTCAAACTTTTTTCGCGTTCGACGTTCAAGTTCTACAAAGTCTACATCTTTAGTGTTTATGTTCGATCGCGTAGTTCTAGCGGGAACTATTTTTAATTCTGGATTTGTGGTGCTAGAACATCCAGGAGTTAGTTGAGGAATATGAAATTCTTTATTTGAGTCGTTGGATTGAAAAATATTACTATACGAAATGTCAAAAATATCATTTAATGAATCCAAAAACTTAATTTCTTTATTATTTTGTGAAATAGTATTTCTATTTTGATTCTTTTTTAAATTTATCCATTGCGTATATAATAATTTTATTTTTGAAATTATATTACACTTGAGCTTAATGGGAAATTCGGTTTTCGACCACACCTGAATTATATGTTTAGAACAATCAATAGCAGTGTCTGCTATTGTTTTCTTCTCGACATTATGCAAATAAATGAAATGACCGAGGACATTGCGTTTTGTAGGTAGCTGTTTACCGAGCATGTATTTTTGAGGAGCAATATTTAGACGATGAGATTTTGTTATACTAACCATTATAAACTAAAATAAGAATTAATAAAAATCGTAATGAATAAAAGAGTAATAAAATTATTTATTATTGTAAAAGTATTTTTTTATTTGCAATTAAAACTAAAATATAAAGTAATGGTGGATTTATTTAGAAAAATTAATATGAAATGTATGAATTCAATTACAAATTGTATTGTAATGGTGATAATTCAAAGTAAATTTATTAAACTTATATTCTAATAAAAATATATATGAGCTATTTTTCTTACCCTTTAATTAATAACCACGAGAAAAAAATTAATTTATTAAATAGAATTTAACTAAAAATTAATTTAAAAAATAGAATTTAACTAAAAAATTATTTAAAAAATAGAATTTAACTAAAAATTAATTTAAAAAATCAAATTAAATGTATATTGAACTATAACTTTTAAGAAAAGTTTGTTGTGTACAACTAACAAATATTAGTCGGATACCATCAAAAAGATAGTGAGTATAACAATCAGTACAAACCCATACAAGAAAAGTACTGGATATAAATATAATGCCAAAACATCGTTTATGGTATCTTATCGTCGTGATCGCGATTATTGTCATAATTAAACTTGGTTTTGTTGTAATACTTATGAAATATACGCATTTGACCCTAAATTTATAACTTCGTGTACATAAAATTTTATATTAGCAAAAAAATTATTAACATTATATTTTTACGTTTTTAATTCTTAAGACTATAATCAATCAAACAATAATTAAACTTAAATATAAAGATATATTAAACATTGCCACAAAAAATGTAAAAAGGAAAAAGTAAAATTTGACGATATTTTCATTTATATTTTTGTACATCGTATATTCTAGCGTACGTTATAATCTAAAAAAAAGGTAGTAGTTTTAAACATTAGTGGAAAAAATTTTTTCCTCTTAATATACACACAAATATTAATCAAATTAAAAAAAAAAAATGAAAAAAAAAAATTTTTTGGTTTACTTAAGTGTTCGTTGAACTTAACCATATTTTTGAGCTTTTTATGGACTTTACGCAATCAGTTTTGGACTTACAATTTTTTTTTCTAATTATTATTATTCGGCATTAAAAAACGAACAATTTAGATGTACTAAGTAAGAAATTTGAACAAAAATTGAATAAATAATGACATTTTATGTTTTTTTGAGTATTTTTGGTCAATTTTCTTAAAACGCGTTGAGCGACCTGTAAAAATTTTTTTTTTAATCTCAAATTTTCATAAAATGTTTATTTTAATGTATATAATACATTTATGAGGTATCTCATAAACATTACGAAGATCGATTTTTTTTTAGCCACCCTAGTGTAGACGTTACTTAATAATTTCTACAAGAGGGAGATTTTATCGTATAATTAAAGGGTTATTTTGTATTTTAAATAAGAGAACCCTGTTTTGGTGATCTTGTATAATCATAATATGTGACATTCATGTACAAATGATAACATCATATTATATGTTAATATTATAATTATACTTATAAATCATAGAACTGCCAATTAGGAATAATGAATGAAATAAGAGTTAATTATGATATTGGAGTTTAGTTACATATTTTTAGCTTCGATGCGAAGCTGAGAAGGTATTAATTTTACTATAATGTGTTTTGTTTTTATTTTTTTGTTTTTGTATCTTTGAACGCTCAATCTCAGCTCTCGCTGGACTGATTTTGATGAACAATATTTCAAAAGATCACAAATCGTATCTAGTCGAAGACATTACCCTCAAAAATTGAAAAAAATTCCCTCGTTCCCCGTAAACGGGGGAAATCCCCCAAAAAATTACAAATTTAAAAATCGCTAATTTTCGATATTTTTTCAATTTTTTTTACTTAAAAGTGCCATAACTTTTTTAAAAATAATCGAATCAATATATCTTTTTTTTTATAAATACCTTAGATATTTACCTATCATATTATATATTTTTGTGAACATTTGACCCTTTAACAGCCCACAGAAAGGGTTTCAAAATGGTAACTTTTTTACAAAAAATTAACTTTTTCAACTAAACTTTTGAAAATGTTCCGGAAAGACTAACACTTATATATATATATTTTAAATTAAAGTTAATGTAATATACTTTGATTTGAAAAAAAAAAATTTGACCTCTGGACTTGTCTTCATGGTGAAAATGGACATCAAAGTTAAAGAAAAACGTACGATTTCCGTGAAAAAAATCTCGATTTTATATGTTATATTATTTAATTTATATTTTATATAACTTTTGGAAAAATGTATGGATCAATATTATTATTTTTTTATAATAAATATTTATATACCCCTTTCATCTGGCACGCTTTTTTTGTAAATCGGATCATACCCCTTTAACAAGGGGGGTCAAAACTTTAAACATGCGTATTGTTACTACGATATTTTCAATTTAATTTTTGAAAGTATTCCGGAAATACTGACACTTTTATATATATCTTAAATTAAAGCTTATGTAATATACTTTAATTTGAAAAAAAAAAATTTGACCTCTGGACTTGTCTTCGTGGTGAAAACGGACATCAAAGTTAAAGAAAAACGTACGATTTCCGTGAAAAAAATCTCGATTTTATATGTTATATTATTTAATTTATATTTTATATAACTTTTGGAAAAATGTATGGATCAATATTATTATTTTTTTATAATAAATATTTATATACCCCTTTCATCTGGCACGCTTTTTTTGTAAATCTGGATTTGTCTTCATGGTAAAAATGACTTCCGTGTTCAAAAATATGCTATTTTTGTGTTAAAATTCTGGGTTTTGTATTTTATTTTATTTTAAAATACCTGACAAGGGGAGTACAGATTTTCATAAATATTATATAAATGAAAAATTAATATAGCATAGAAATTTAAACTTATTTAAATTTGTTTGCTTCTTTTAAGTTGAGAAAAATAACTTTGAAATTTAAACTAGCTTAAATAATCAATTTTTTCAATCGTGGGTATCCATGTACGGTTGCTGAGTTGTTAAAAATTATGTTTTACACGCTTGGGGTACGAGGTTACAACCCGCGTATGACAATGAATTTTTTGCAATTTTTCTTAATTCTTTTTAAGTTTTTTTAAATTTTTAACTCGTTTGATTTTTATCTCATTTAAATTCAATAACTTCAATGAAGATCAAGGATCCCATCACTTTAGTCGCCCCTTGTTAGAAGAAATTTCTTATTCGTATTAAAATTATTTTACTATATTTTAAGTTTTACCTTCGATACAAAGCTGAGAAGATATTTTTTTGTGACTATCATTTATTTTATCTGCTCTAACTTGACCTACTTTTTTCAACGATACGTCAAATGACTACAATTCGTATCTAGTTGAAGATATTACTCTCAAAAATTGAAAAAAAAATTCTAATTTATCAATTAAACAGTTAGTTATTACATCGTCTCCATAAAGACAATTAAAATCATTAATTTCTAATGTTTTCAAAATATTTATTAACGAATGAAGTTTGATATGATAGGTTTCAACTACAAAATTAAATCATTTTACTTTGTAATTTAATAATTTTTTTACTCTATTTGTGTGTGCTACTACTAGACTATAATATTACAATTATTTTTGTAACATGTTGCTATATAAATCATTTCTAAAAAAAATGATTGTTTTTTCTCCTGAATTAACAATTGATTTTTACAAATATAATCAAATTTTATAATACACTCAATTGAGTAAACCTTTTAAACAACTCTGTTTTGATTGGTTCATTTAGTTAAAGTAAATCATTAAAATTAATTATGTTCTCAATATTTCAATTGTAGAATCTTTTCAAACAACAAAAGTTACTAGGAAATTATTACTATTACTTCCATTTAAGTTATCTATTACCATAAAATAGCAAAAAAATATTTGTTACTCTGATAAATATACTATAAATAGTAATTGTTCAGGATATTTTAATTGTAGAATCATTTTAATTACCAAAAATTACTTAGAAATGATATTATGATTTCTATTTAAGTGTTCTATTACGATAAAAATGCAAAAAAATAATGAGTTTTTCTGATAAATATACTGTAAATAGTAATTATAAAATTTCCTGACTGCATATTAATCTTAAAAATAACATTGTTTTAATTAGGCAATTGGTGGATTATTCCAAAAGCAACATCAACTCTTATTTCTTTAATTATATCCTGATTAGTAGTTCTTTGATTTTAAAATATAATATATGAATAAATACTAATTGTTAAATTGTTACTAATTGTAAAATAGTTTTTAAATTTAGTATGAAATTGATATTTAATAATTTAATATTGTAATTTAAACGGAAAAATTATAAAAATAATCTTCTTCTCTTCTCTACTAAAGGCCTTGCCTTGTCGTTGCAAATCTGGATCTCCATTCTTTTCTGTTAAAAGCCAGTCTTTTCATGTCTATGTATCGACTACAGTCAGCTTGTCTTATCATTTCTTCTATATATGCTTTCCTCGGTCTACCTCTACCTTTGTGTCCATTTATTCGCCCTTCAAATATATTTGTTATAAACGAATTGTGCCTTAATAGGTGACCGAACATTTTTCCACTTCTTTCTTTTATGACGTTTAACAGAATTCTTTTTTCCCCTACTTGGTTTAATACATCTACGTTACTTTTCATTTCTGTCCAGCTGACTTTCAGCAACCTTCTCCATGTCCACATTTCCATAGCTTCCAACTTCTTCTTGTCTTGTCCATTGATGGTCCATGTTTCACAGCCATATAGTAGTACGCTCCATACATAGCATTTGACAAAATTTTTTCTCATTTTTATATTGAGTTTTTTGTTTGTAAGTAGCTGCCGTTTTTGCATAAATGCTCTCTTTGCCATAGCTATTCTTTGTCTAATTTCTATTGAGCATCTACCATCGCTAGTAATCGTACTTCCTAGATACTTAAATTGTTGAACCTGCTCAATTAAGTTATTATCTATTTCCAACCTCACTAAAGGAATTTCTTTTGCTTTAGTCACCACCATTGACTTTGTTTTATTTGCATTTATTTTCATTTGATACTCCTGCAATATTTTAGTGAGGGTGGTTAGAGATTTTTGCATGTCTTTTTCCGATTCAGACACTAAAGCAATATCATCTGCAAATCGTATACAATGTATCTTTTCTCCATTTATGCTTATTCCTTTAGAGTTTCTCTTATACTTGTCTATGATTTCTTCTACAAATAAATTGAACAGATAAGGTGATAAGGAACAACCTTGTCTTACCCCTCTTCTAATTTTTGCTGTTGCACTATGTTCTCCTACCTCTAGTAAGGTCTCTTGTTTCTTGTATAGTAACATTATTACTCTTCTGTCCCTCCAATCTATTCGAGTTCTTTTCATAGAGTTCATCAATAAAGCCCAGTTAACTGTGTCAAAGGTTTTTTCTAGATCTATAAAAGTTATAAATGTATTTCTATTTACATTTAACCTTCTTTCGGTGAGTACCCTTAGAACTAAAATTGCTTCTCTTGTACCAACTCCCTGTCTAAACCCGAATTGGTCTTCATCAAGCTCCTCTTCAGTTTTTGTCCTTATCCTATTTTTTATGATGATAAGAAGTATTTTGGACGCATGTGTTAAGAGATTTATTGTTCTGTAATTCTTGCATTCTGTGGAATTCCCTTTTTTAGGGATAAGTACAATTTTGCTTTTGGCAAAGTCCTCCGGAATGTTGCCATCCCTATACATTTCCTCAATCATTTCATATAGCTTATTTTCGGTATCTTTTCCGACGTTTTTTAATAGTTCTGCTGGGATGTCATCTACTCCTGTCGCTTTACCTTGTTTCAATTCACTTAGTGCTTTAATAAATTCGCTTTTTGTTATATTTGGCCCTATGTCTTCTCTGTTTGACTCACTTATATTTTCAATATTTATGTCATTTTCTCCTATACAACCTTTATACAAATCTTCTATGTACTCTTTCCATCTCGTCACTATTCCACCTTCATCTAACATCAGTTGTCCATTCATATCCTTAACAATTTTGCTTCTTGGCTTCGGTTGGCCAAAAAATAATAAAGAAGTTATAAATTGCTTTACTTTTAAGTGTATAAAAATTTAAAGGGCTTGATACAATAATTATCAATAAAAACTGTTTGTTATTATAAAAAATGCACTGGAGTTCAAAGAACTTTCATCAGAAGCAAAAATATACTTTTCTAAATCAAANTTCAAGGAACTTTCATCAGAAGCAAAAATATACTTTTCTAAATCAAATTTTCGCGTTGTTTTCAAATTTGCAATTAGACTTTATCTATCAGTTCTAATTTTTTATATTATTACTAATTACATATATAAAATCATTAAAAGAAAAAAAAATTGTTTTCAAATTATTACTGATTTGATTTTTAATATGTTAAAATTAATCAGTCCAAATTTTCATTTTAACCTATTTTTTTGGTTCTTTAAAGTTGATGAAAAATTTTTGATAAAGATTTATGAAAGTTTATATTAAAAAAAATTTAATATATTACCATAACTTTTAGCTCAATTATAAGTTTAAAACTGACATCTAGGCCAGTCAACAAAGGAAAAATTTCTTAAAAATTCCCAACCAAATTTTGTTTTATTAATATTTGAATTAAAATATGTATAATAACATACTAATAGTCCTCATTGATTGAAATTGAGCTTTTTTTTACAGCCTCGCAAAAGTTCAAAAATATGAGCTTTCTTAATTTTCTCAAAAAAAAAAAATTTAACTTACAAAAAAAATGTTCGTACAAAAGTTGTTTAAAAAACAATTATAAATAAAAAAATAATCTTATATTTTTTCATTTAAACAAATATTTTTCGAGTTACATTACATTTAATATGAGTAATAAAATTTATATTCCATTTTTTTCATTTTACGGTTACTTTTTATCATGTTATACTTACATTAGACACAATGTTATAAATGCATATGTATGTATGTGTGAGTTTATTTATTTATAGTATCATTTAAGTGTAGTGTTTATTAAGATACAACCGATAGTGTGGGTAATTGATTTGACACTATATTGTTTAAACCCAATTAAACACTAAATTGTACATTCCCAAACAACAATCATATTATGTCAATTGCCACCGGTATTTCTGGTAATCTTTTTCTTTTACTTTGTCTTAATCCCAACTACTTGGGGTCAGCCACACTTATCCTAAGATTCCACTTGACACGATCTCCCACATCTTCTACGCTCACATCAGCTGTCCTCAAATCGCATTCAATAGCATCCCTCCATCTCTTTTTTGGTCTTCCTCTATCTCTTCTTCCTTCAACATTCATTTCTATAAATGTTCTTATAGCTTCCGATTCTTCTCTCATCATAGCATGGCTAAACAATCTAAGTCTATTTTCTGTCATCTTATCCACGATTGACGCAACACCTATACTTCCTCTTATATGCTCGTTCCTTATCCTATCTTCTCTAGTCACTCCACTCATCCAACTAAGCATTCTCATCTCTGCTACACTTATTCTCTGCTCTACTTTATTATCAACCGCCTAACACTATGAACCATACATCATAGCTGGCCTTTAAATTTCATACTGAATTTAAAAACTATAATTAGTATTTATTCATATATTATATTTTAAAATCAAAGAACTGCTAATCAGGATATAATTAAAGAAATAAGAGTTCATGTTGCTTTTAAAATATTTCACCAATTTCTCTAAAGGAAACACTATCTACAGATTTGCATCGAAGCGTTTCTTATGATAGTGATTTTAATCACTGTCAGATATCATCTATACTTGTCCCATCTTTGCCTCCCTTCCATCACTGTGCTACCGTTTTTTTTAGCGTCGATAATGGTAACATTGTTTTCAAAATACATGTCCGCAACTTTTCAGTAATTTTGTTATGACTGATAACGCCACTCGCACTACCACCAACGGTTGTGCGAAAGACTCATTACGTTGAATGGTTCCGTAAGTGATAGTTGCACGCCCCCAAATTATTGTCGGTTCTTTTAACCATAACAAGTGCCTCCGTTTGTATCTGTGCTATATATTTTATTCTATTGTTTAGCACATCCTGTTGTGGTTTGGTTCACTCGAGATTTCATACCTTTACACGCTTTGAGTGTTCGGCCCCATCCATATTTGAAGTGATTATTATTTAAGCTATTAACTTTGTAGTCTTAGTCTGTTCAAAAAGCGTTTCTTATGATAGGGATTTCAATCACTGTCAGATATCATCTATCCACACTGTGCCACAAACCCCACTGTGCTGTTGTTTTTTAAATTTTATTTCGTTTAAAATTTATACTGGAGCACAATAATAAGAAATAGTTAGGATCAATACACTTATCTACACCTCTTTAATATTTGGTACCTATTCATAAAAATTAACTTCAGATCTGCTACTGGGAATTATGCTATTGTATTAGGTAAGATTTTAATTTTGTAATTTTTTAACAGATTTTACTGTTTATTACGACATAAGAAACTTTGAAACACAAATTGTTATAAATGTTAAATCTTCGAACTGAATTAATATTATATTCTGGAAAATTACATTTTATTTCAAATTAGGCTTCAAAAATTGTTTTTTAAACACTTTTTGTTTTAATTTTTGAAAAAAATTATGTAGCATAAAATTTTAATTAATCTGTATTTAACGTAAATTAGAACAAAGACTCATCAAGATCCTGAATTGTATGGTTAAAGTTGACAAGTGGGGTGATAAAAAAAAAGTAAAATTACATATTAATTAGTTTATTATGCTTTTTACTTAAATCATTATTAAATTATTTTGCATTCTTTAGGTGGAAAAACTGGATATAAATGAGGTTGAAAACATCTCAACTAAATTCAGAAATTTTGACATAGACAATGATGGTGCTTTAAATAATACAGAATTCAAAGAATTCATTTATGGTTATGAGCTTCGCGATTTAATTGGAAACGTAATTATAAATTTAGTATAAAATATTGATAATCATTTAAATACGTGATACATCGCCCAAGAGTTTTTCTATCTAGACAAAATTAATAGAACTTGGAGTGATTTCGATAGAATAATTAATTAAATCATAGAAATATATTCACATGAATTATAACCAAAAAATTTCAATGTTTTTCACAATAATTTTTCATTTATTTTATCTCGATTTTTATTAACTCTAACTACCAGAAATTTAAAGTAACGTCAACTTTAGTGGTTTAGCTACTTCGTAAACTTTACGAAAATTATTGCAAAAAACAAGTTTGAATACCATAAAGTTTATTTTATACAGTGCGATTTATTAAGAAATTGGGATTATAATAATCTCAATTATTCGTTAAATAATGATAATTTCATAAAAATGCAAAATTTAATTAATTTTTATAAACCATTAAAAATATCAAGTTTATTGTAAAGAAAAATTATTCCTATAGGTAGAATTAAGGAGAAAATTTTATGAGTTAAAAAGTAACCTATTTTTTTTTTTACTTTTAATTGGAGAGTAGTCTTAATAAAATTATAGGCAGGTCGATAACCAATATTGTATTATTACTTTTTGAGTCGTTAAAATTTTTAGTTATAGCCAAGCGGTGTGCACAGCGTAGACAAATTAATTTATGTGGGTTATTTTAAAATAGATTGTCACTAAACACTACTTCACCCCTCATTTTTTTCTAAATCATCAAATGCTAATATCTCAAAAAATAATATAATTAATAAATTATACTTTGTAGATTCTCTTTTCAAATAATTTCAATGATTTTATTTACTAAAGATATCACGTTTTATATAAAGACAACCAATATAAACTGAGATTAATTTTTTGTCGATTGACAACACTACGAATCAAAAAGTAATTATTCATATCTATTCTATGTTAATAACTGTATTAGAACCAATCATAAGGCTATTTTTAGTCACTTAAAAGCGTTCCTACTAATGTTACATGAATTCGCTTACATAATATTCTATTGCACACTACTAGATGAGTTATTATGGTTGAAAAATTGATATGCACTATGATGTGCTATTTTTTTCAAAAAAAAAAGAAAATGACGGGTAGGGTTCAAAGCTTGTACCTCAAGTGTGAAAGAATGTATAGTAGTGCTAAAAATAACAATTAAATCTAGTACAAAAATCGTTTTTGATAACGTAAAGTAGGTAAAATATTCTAAATATGTTTAACTTACTAAATAACAGTAGCTATTAGTTCAGACACTCCCCCCTCCCGCGACGCTTCGCTATACACGATGACACGCGATTCGTGTCTCCTTTATCAGCCGTAGCCCTATTATGAGTATTTGTCTGACCAACAACGCGAGCCATACGCCACGGGGCAAAGTCCAAGAAGTGCCGCACGGTTGACGACGACCCACCTCAAATGATAGAGAGAGTCTTCTTCCCGTTGTAAAAGTGACAACGTCGAGGACGTACGCCAACGGCTCCAGACGTGCCACACGACCGGACTCGACGAACCAATCCGTACCCGCGCACCGTCACCATCAACGCTGCTAACTTTTTTACTCAAAGGACATCGCATCGACGACGCCAGTGAAAGCGCAGCGATATTATGCGAAGATTATAATTAACTATGATCGCCTTTTCGGTTTGTTTGTTTTTTTTTAAATTACCTGTTGTTGTTAAATAATAAACCCTCAAAATCAGTGTCGACTACATATTGCGATTGCAAAGTTGTGTTCATAGAAGAAATATCGCCGGAACAAACTTTTTTTTCAACTTAAAGTTCGTAATTAACTATGTTATGTTAATTAAAAGCTTTAATTAACATAATTTTAAAAGACTTAATATTTCCGGAACATTTTCAAAAGTCAAGTTCTACTTTTTATACATATGTTTCAAGTTTTGAAACCCCTTCATAAGGGAAAATGATCTGATTTAAAAAAAAAAAGTGTCACAGACAAAAAAAAGAGATAGTTATGAAAAAAAAAATTTATTCAAAATTGAATAAATTTTGAAGCTCGGATTATTTTCGGAACATTTTTAAAACTTAAGTAGACAAAGGTTAATATTTATATAGAAGATACTATTTTGAATCTCCCCTATGGGCAGATTAAGGGTCAGATTTACAAAAACATTATATCATATGAAAAAAAAATATCTAAGGTTACAGTAGAAAAATGAGTTATTTTATATTGTTAATTTTTCAAGTTATGGCTTTTTTAGGTATGAAAATATTTTATGTTAAACAGTGATTTTAGCATAAAAATTACATTTTTCCAAAAATTTGATAGCCATTTTCCCACTGAAGAAACGGTGTCAGAACAAATTTTTCTTTTAGCTTCAATGCGAAGCTGAGAAGGTATTGGTTTTACTATGATGTGTTTTTTTTAGTGTCTGTTACCACTTTTACTCAGCTCTCACTGAATCGATTTCTTTCAACGATACATCAAAAGATCACAAATCGTATCTAGTTGACGACATTACCCTGAAAAATTGAAAAAATTCAAAAATCGCTAATTTTCAAAAATGAACAAATCAATATAATTTTTTTATATAGATACTTGTAGTCTTTACCTATCATTTGGTATATTTTTTTTCATAAATTTAACCCTCTACAGGAGGGGATTCAAAATGACAACTTTTTCACAAAAAATATTAAAATATAAGAAATAATATTTATACACCTCTTTAATTCGAACATACTTGTTTTTTAAATCGGACCATTTCCCGTAATAAAAGGGGGGTTTGGTTTTTTAAACTTTTTTAAAAATGACAAATTCATAATAATTTTTTTTAACTATCTGAACCTTTACCTGCCCACAGGGGTGGATTCAAAATGACAACTTTTTTACAACAAATTAACTTTTTCAACTTAATTTTTGAAAGTATTCCGGAAATACTGACACTTTTATATATATCTTAAATTAAAGCTTATGTAATACACTTTAATATTAAAAAATAAAATTTGGACTTTATTTTGTCTTTATGATGAAAATTTTTAATTCATGATAAAACCATTTTTAACAATATGCTATTTTTGTACTAAAATTCTTGGTTTTGTATTTTATTTTATTATAAGAGGATTACACTAATTTTTATAAATATTATATCAATCTAATTTACATAGTATAAACAGTTAAACATATTTAAATTTTTATGTTTCTTTGAAGTCGAGATAACTTTAAAATTTGAACTAGCTAAATTTCCATTTTTATTAAGTGACGAATGCGACGTATGGTTTCTGAGACGGTAACACTTGGGTCTTTCACGCCTGTGGCACTGAATTTTTTCTTAATTCTTTTTGAGTTAGAAAAAAATGTGTTAACTCATTTGATTTTTATCTCATTTAAATTCAATAACTTCAATAATATAAAGGAACCCATTACTGTAATCTCCTCTCGTGTGAAGAAATTCATTATAAATATTATTTTACTAGGTGGTTTTTTTTTTAGCTATCATTTATTTTCTCAGCTCTCATTTGACCTACTTTTTTAACAATTTTTTTTTTTTTAATTAAACACTATATACAGATTTGCATCGAAGCGTTTATTATGATAGTGATTTTAATCACTGTCAGATATCATCTATACTGGACCCAACTATGCCACGACCCCACTGTGCCGCCACCCAACTGTGCTGGGGTTTTTTTTTTAATAACTTGTTGAAAATTTGTAAAAGAATTATAAATAAAAATAATTTAGAACTAAACAAATTTATAAGAGATATTATTAATATCATTAAATTGTACTTAATTATAAAAAAATTTTAAACTGGATACATATGATGGTTTTTTAAGGGAAAATCTCTTGTAAGTCCATTTATCGTCCTTAAAATATGGTACGTTTAAGAAATATTGAGGGGCTGGTACAAATTTTTGGTAACCTTCCTAAATCTTTACATATGACTATGTTATAATTATGTTTATTTTTATTAAGTCAAAAATTTTATAAAGAGTGATTAAAATATTTGTGTAATTTTACTGACAAATTAGTATTTATAAATATACAGAGTATTCAGTAATTAAGGAAACAGGTCAATTGTGACAAAAAATGAGAACAATAGAAACCCGTTTCCCTACTTACTGAACACTCTATGTAAGTATATTTTATTTATTCCTATATTTTAACTAGTATTTGACGCTGTGGTATTACTTTCAAATGTCTGTACTTTAATTAATAAGGATTATTCTTTTATTATATCATAAACTGCAGAATTTATTTTAATACTATTGCCTATATACTATTCTGGAATATCTAATAACTGTTAACATTGGGACCTATGTCTATTATAGCCAATTTAATATTGTATAGTATTTATTACAGTCAAATAATTTTACAGACATTTTACTGTAAATTTTTTATTCCATTAATTAGACTATCGATTCAACATTTTGATCACTAAATTTTGTTTAACTTTATTGTCTTAAGTTGTACAATAAACCGTTCTAGAATTTCTAATAGTTTTTTTATTAATTACGAAATTTAATGGATCCAATGAAACGGATTCCAAAAATATATTTAATAATAAACAAGAGCAGTAATTTCACTTAAAAATATTATTAATTTAAAAAACTAAAAAATATTAAAAATATTAAACTCAAAGCCACAAAAAAATTAATGAAAAGTCGCGGATACGTATTTCGGAAACAATGTTACCATTATCAACGCTAAACACATAATTCATAATTTATGTGTTTAGCGTTGATAATGGTAACATTGTTTCCGAAATACGTATCCGCGACTTTTCATTAATTTTTTTGTGGCTTTGAGTTTAATATTTTTAATATTTTTTAGTTTTTTAAATTAATAATATTTTTAATATAGTTTTAATTTTACTTAATTAATTAGCCACAAGTGATCAATTTTTATTATATTTCACTTAAACTAATACGGAAGTTTCGTCTTTTATAAAATAATACTTCTAATTTAACAACTATTGAGTCAGGTTTACTAATTAGTTAAAAGTTACATGGAAATGACTAGTTATGAAACTAACAACAACCATGTCTCAATTTCAGCTATCACTGTTATAAAATATTAAATACTTACGAAAACAAAGAAATTCAAAGAGATCTATTTCCAGTATATTAAAAATACAATAAAAATAATTCTATAACATTTTAAAGCTAATATTCAATATTTTCATAATTCTTGTATACATTTACACTTGTAATCACTCAACACGTAAATTGATCTAGTCATTTCAAAAACGAACTGGAATAATTTAAAAATCATACTGTCGTACGTCCGCAAGTACCCTGACGTAGATACAAAAGTAGTAGACAAATTAACTAATGTTTTTTTGACGACGAGTTCGTCGTTTTTAGCTCTTCTGGAATGCTACCGTTGGATACACTGGTCAGCCTCAATCCCTCCAATTAGTGAACTACTAAAGTGGTAGATTTTAGACCCGTCAGCACGGTTTAGGTCAAAAGTAGTAGACTTGATGGCTCCTCGTCAGCCACCAGCACAACTACCTTTTCTCTATACCTACTAAAGGACGGTTCTGCCCAAAAACTAGCCAGCACGCACATTAATTATTAAGATCGATTAAGAGATCAGTAATCCAAACCTCGACACTTGTCGCACATATACACACACAATTTTAACAGCACAGTAGATATAAAGTATTTACACTCAAGTGCAGGTTTTTGAATACTTATTTTATTTACAAAACCCAATAAACACAAAGTTAAAATGTAATATAAAAATATATCACAAAATAAATTAAGTCGTACAAAATAAAAAGTTACTTGCACCAAACGTCCTGACTCGTAACTCGACGTTTCTTTGTCAAAACGTTAATCCTCATATATTTTTCATATTTCCAATTATCTCATCTTTTTCCCGCCATTATTAATTTGATTACCCTGCACTTTCCCTTTTTATGAACATTATTATATTACTTAAGAATCTAATAATTACTTACTACTGTAGTAAAACTTATATTATACTAAAATTGACGTTATTTAATACTTCTTCAGCTATTTACTACAATACTAAACGAACTCACAAAATTGAATATTAGTTGTCAATATCATCTTCTGTTTCTTACATCACAAACTTTATTGATAAATTATTCCCATTGGTTCTTTGACTAATTAGTTTAAGAAATATCTCGCATTTTTAGAAAACAAAAATGTATTAATTACTTGATTTGTAGAAGTCATTTATTCATTTATGCATTTGAATTCAGATATAAATAGCACAAATCTAAGCATGTTATTTAATTTATTTGTAAATTTAAATTTATTCATGTTGCTGTTGAACTCATTATAAGAATGTAATAGTATTGGTTTTTTTCTTATTATTTAAATTATGATTTTATTAATTTTCTTAAAATAATAATATGCGAATCATTTATTTCTACATGTTTTTATTTAGTTGTTGTCATTAAATTATTTTTTAATTGTGAATAAAAATAACAAATTTTTTTTATAATTTAATTATCTATCTAGCTATTGTCTATCAAAAAGTATCCTATATACAGTCCACTAGTATATATACAAATTAATTTGGTCATTTAACCAATGCCAAGATCTTGATTTTACTTCGTAATATTGATTACAATTGTTCATAATTTTATAATTATAGTTTGACTTCAATAAGAAATTAAAATTGTAGAAAATTCACATCAAATTAATAAGTGCTTTATAGTTGTTTAGAACTTCATAAATATTGAATTAAGAACTCAGGTGGTCTATCGGTTTATGTAATGCGCCTACACTTATGAACCCTTGTACTCATACCCTCAGAGATATCATTATTAAAACATATAATAACTTGATTATAAAGCATCACGTGTTAATTAAGTGCATTAGAGTTCAAATTTTGCAGGTGATTTATTGAAATACAATTGAAAATATATATTTTCTGTACCCATTAAATATAAAACTTCAAAAATAAGTTTATTGTAATAATTATTTTTAATTTTGTAGGAAGTAACACTGCACGACTATAAGAATGTTATAAAGACTTTGGCTTATTTTAGGAAAGATATTGATCAAAAAAGTAATTACTAAATCAATAATTGTAAATAATCTATATTTTATTATATTGTTGTATTTTTTTAGGCAGAGTATATCACGACTTAAGTGATGTAATGTTAAAATTATTAGAGTACAAAGCAAAATTTAATCAAACAAAATTTGATAAACTTGAAGATTTGTATGCCTTTCATAATAAATTATACAACATTTCAAAAGGTTGTCAACCAGAGGATTTTAAATCATTTCACGAAGAATAGATGTATGTTGTATAACGTATTATTTTGTTAAAGTTTTCAAAAACCTATGATTTTATCATATATTCTAAAATTATAAAAAGTTATAACACCTACATCCAACTTTGTTGTGTAGTTTTTTATTGCTTAAGGCTTATTTAAATTTAATTTTTTATTTTATAGTGGACTCTGTGACACATTTGGTTCACTTGCTATATTCTAGTAATTTATTGGTATTTAAATTTTTCATCTGTTTCTTTGTACATGTTTTAAATGTCCCAAGTTCATTTCTACATTTGTGTTTTTTACATATTTTTATGAATATTCAAAAGACAAGTGAATAAAAGGGAAATTGGTTTCATCATTCGTTTGTGCTCAAAGCAGCGTTTTAACAGGAAAATTTCATAAAACTGTTGAAAATAAAAATGTGTAGAAAGTCTATGCAAAAATTATAAATAAACCTTATTCAATAGAGTTAAACATCAAATAACTTGTCCTGTAACTAAACATACAGCATTAACAAGCAGTTTTAAATAAATCCAAACAATAGTTTGCACTTTTAGTGTTTTGTTAATTTTACATTTGTTTCAAAGTGTTTAAAAATATTAATTTTTAACTGTACTTATAACGTCGTTTTAATTATTTTTAAATTACACTTATGTAATTCTTAATAGTTAAATAAGTGTAAAAAAATGTCTAAATTTTATAAATAAACGTTTAAAGAAAATGAAGTAATTTTTTTCAAGTTTTAAGGGAAATGTCTTTTGATAAACGTTAAAAGAAATTGGTTTGGTGTTGAGAAAATGTAGCGACAGACATAAAAAAAAACACGTTATAAATAAATTAACACCTTCTCAGCTTCCCACCGATACTAAAAAGTAATGCGAAATATTCATTAGTGCAAATGTTATTAAAGATGTCGGAACTTGATTGGTCACCTTATACTGGGTCAGTTCAATAAGTATTGGGTCTGGTTCGCTGTAGCCTCAATGGAGAAGTAGATGGGAGTCCCACTGGTCAGACACGTTAGAAGGGTCCCCACCACTCAGGCACACTTTAGTTCAGTCGACTACAGGCAAGCGTTGGGACAATAAGTTGATTATTATGTCGTGTGATTTTTTTTGGTTTCGTCGCGCCACCATGAAGCGCAACATTACACTCAGAAGTTTTGCTTTAAACTCGGGAAATCCGCGTCAGACACCTTTGATATCATAAAACAGGCTTATGGTGATGATGCCTTAAGCCATTTTAGAATTTTATTACCTTTTATTGGCTTGACAATATACATCGTTTATAAAATAAGCACTTAAAAAGATTCTCTTTAATGAGTCATGAGTCTATTACGATTTATAATTTTTTTTATGCTTTTCAAACTATTTTCATATTATTATACTAATAATATTTTCTATGAATTCCCTATAGTCGATATCAATATTCTTACAGCTAAACTTAAAATTAATTTATTAAAACATGTCCATCTATATTAAAAATATAGTCAACAAGAATGTGATGTCCTAGTGTTTCTAAAGTCTTAGCTGTCGTGGACATATTTAACTTCGTTAATATATGTTCAATATTGCTACAATAATACCATTCGATATCCTATTACGGAAAGAATCTTTCGTTCTTCATCAACATTAACACTTAACAAATGACTAGTGCCTCATTAACACAGACGTCCTTACAAGTATACTATGAGTATGCGCCACGCAGGTGTAAACAGAACATTGCATTCTTATTTTAATTGATTTAAAACACGATATTTTACTACTTTCCAATATCTCATTCTTTTTCAATAATTCAATTCTTATCGCTATTTGCATTATCTATTATTATTATTATTATTGTTATTAATGAAGTTCTGTGTACGCTCGCCGCCGTCGACTCACCTTGCAACCAACATCTTTTAAAATCCAGTCTTATTAGACTTTACTATTGTATATTATTTACCATTGTAAATAATATTGCAAATAGTATTTATATAGAAATAAACACTTGTTATCGTTTATAATTGAGAGTTTAAATTGTATTGGTCATAAAACCGCTAATAATCCTTTTAGTGAGATATAAATTATATAGGGCCAGCGTTTAGGAATATCATAGCCAATTGTTAGGACCCTAGCGGGAAAACAAGTTAAGGTAAATGGAACGCTCATTAAAAATATAAAATTATTTATTGTTTTTCATTTTTTATATAATACGTCATATACTCTCACTCGATTTTGTAATTTAACGTATACTCCGTAAAAATATCAAAAATCTGTAAATATACGTTTACTTTGCATGTGTACCTTGAAATCAAAAAAATGTGCAGGTATTTATTATAGAGGAGAGCGGGGCAAATTGATTCCTGAGACAAGATTTTTTTCTAAAATTAAAAAAAATATGATTAAGTCTGCAAAATTTTTATGAAATTATTTAAAAATAAATTAACTAAATAATAATGAAATTTTTTGAAAATAATTTAAATGAACAAATGTATACTAATATATTAGTTTAAAATCACACGTATACCTTATATGTAAGAACTATATTGTATTGTTGTTTTAAAACTTAATTATTTAAGTTGAACGTAGATAAATAAAGCAACACATTTTTTATTGCAATAGCTCAAAAAAAAAAATGACCAATAAAAAGTATTTTAAATTTTATGACTTATACGAATTAAAAGAGTTATACAGGGACTTTTAAATAAAATGAAATGGTTGAAATTTGTATATGAAATTTCTGTATTTAAATTACTGAAAATAATAAGACAATAATAATTATCCAGGGACTAAACTTAGGGGTCATATCATGTTAATTTGTCTTTTGGGTATAAAGATTTTGTTATTTTTAATGCGAAGCTAAGAAGGTATTGTTTTTGTGATGGTGTGGGTTTTATTTTTATATCTATCTATGAAAATTCTCACCTCTTAATTTATATATTAGGACTGATTCTAATGATTTTCAATCCGATAGGAAACCTATTTTTTTTTTNTTTTATATCTATCTATGAAAATTCTCACCTCTTAATTTATATATTAGGACTGATTCTAATGATTTTCAATCCGATAGGAAACCGATTTTATCTAGTTGCCTATCGTTGCTGAGAATCGAAAAAAACCCCAAATTTAAAAATTTATAAAAATATCTTAAAATTATACTACCGTAATCCTAAATAACATTCATTAGTTTTGTAAGACTTTACCTAACCTAAAAAATTGTTATTGCATTTAAATCGTGCAATTTATACAGTATAATGTAGTGTTACTACTTGAGAATTTTGATGTACATACAATTATTCTAAATGCTGATATTTTAATGTGAAAATAAATTTATGTAGTATAAGTATTCAGTGAATTTGTTATTTATAACCAAATCAGGACTACTTTACAAAAAAAAACCCAGCACAGGGGTCACGTGGCATTAACACTTAACAAAATAACTAGTGCCTCCATCAACACAAATGTCCCTACAGCCAAACTATTAATATGCGTATTCAATTAAAATTATACTTAAATGTAATTTTTAAGAGTTTGGTTTTGGTTTTAAAGGAGTTTAAAGTAATAAATTTCTTTTTTGGCTGAAACCTTACAATACTTTAAAAATATTGGAAATAAATGATTTTAGTTGTTTGTATGGATAAAGCTGGTTAAGCTACTTGTTTATTTAATTAGGGGATTTTTTCAATTTTGGAGGGTAATATCTTCAACTAAATACGAATTGTAATCATTTGACGTATCGTTGAAAAATGTAAGTTAAGTTAGAGCTGAGAAATTAAATGATAGTTACAAAAAAAACCATATAGTATAATAATATTAACATGAATAAGTAATTTCTTCTCACGACATAAGACTAAAGTGACGGCATCCTTGATATTTATTGTAGTTATTGAATCTAAATGAGGTAAAATTCAAATGACTTTAAAATTAAAAAAAAAATGCAAAATGTAAATTGCCACAGCGAATGCGAACCTCGTACCTCAAGTGTGTAAAACACCAGTGTCACCGCCAATCGGCTTCTGTTTGTCGCTTTTGTCATATGATAAAATTAGCAATTTATTCTAATTTAAATTTAAAAGTTACTTATTCAACTTTAAAAAAGCAAAAACAATTAAATAAGTTTAATTTCTTATGTCTTATGAACTTTATTCAATGTCAATTAAATTATATTATTTAATTATTAAAATATTTCATGTTAAAAGTGATTTCTGCATAAAAATTATATTTTTCGTTAAATTCAACGGTCATTTCCCCAAAGAAGAAAAAGTGTCGAGATAATTTTTTTTTTGAAAAGCTCCGCATCAAAGCTATAAAAATATAATGATCTATACATTTTTCAAAAAGTTATAGCATTATAAAATTAAACATATAAAAATGAATTTTTTACAAAATTCGTAGTTTTTTTCTATTAACTTTGATGACTGTTTCCATCATGAAAACAAAATAAAATCTGGAATTTTTTTTTCTAATAAAGTGTATTATACAAATTTTAATTTTAGATATATATATATATATATGTATTTCTAGAACACTTTCAAAAATTAAGGTGAAAAACTTCTACTTTCTATATATATATTTTAAGTTTTGAACCCCTTCTATATAAAAGAATAAAAAAAAGTATTAAATATTATTTCTCGTAAAAAAATTGTATCAATCCATACATTTTTCAAAATTTTATAGCATTTTAAAGTTTAAAATATACAATAAAAAATCGAGAATTTTAACACAAAAATAGCATACGGTAGCCATTTTCACTGTGAAAACAAAATAAAGCCAGACATTTTTTTTTTTCATAATAAAGTGTATTACATAAGCTTTAATTTAAGATATATATAAATGTGTCAGTATTTTCGGAACATTTTAGAAAGTTAAGTTGAAAAAGTTAACCAGTCAATCAAAACATATTGCTGATACGTTAGCAGCAATAATAACTGATGGACTGCCACCTTCATTATAAAACAAAATCAATGATGAATTTTTACATGACTTCCAAATCTTTAAATAAATGTGAAACCAAAACGGTTGATGGGATAAAAAAAATTGCAAGAACAATCTTGTTTGTAGTTCTTTTTTTTCTATCGTATTATAAAGTTAAAAATAAGGATTTCTTTTTAAGTAAATTATAATTAAGGATTTTTGTCCCGAGTGGAACTAAAAAAAAAAATTACTTAACTACAAAATTATTGTAGAGTTTTTTGAACCTGACATTTTTTTTGCTACAAAATTTTGAAATTCTCAAAAGTTTCTGAGAAAAAGAGTGTCTTACGAGATTTAATAATATGTATAATAACAATATACAGAGTAATCGATTTATCATAAACAACTTCATTACTCTCAAAATAAATACAGTATTAGCAAAATAAGTATTATAACTTTTAGTTACATATATTTCTTGATTCATCAGTTAATAATTACTATTTAGAATCATTCCAAATAACTTACAGTGGTGTGAATTAATTTTTTTTAACGGGAACATTCATATTTATCTACCTTATAAAATGTGTAATAATCTACTTATGAAAATTACTGGTGGATAACAACTTTTAAACCAGTATTCAAGAAGTAATTAAAA